TATATATATATATATATATATATATATATATATATATAGATGTATATAGTTAGATACCGGGCTCGCATGATTAAGATTGAAGGTATGCTTGTATTTTGTTTCTTTCTAATAATTTACTTTTTGTTTACAGTTCTATCAGGCTTTGGACTAATTGCGTATTTGAATGTTTTTTCTCATGCTTATGGATTATTCATTTTTTCGTTTATCTGGAGGAACATTCGTAACAAATTGAATCGGAAGGGAACAGTAAAGCTATCTAACAAAAAACTCTTGAAAATGTGTGTACGATTAAACATTCTCAAACTGTAAATGACAAACGTCTTTGATCTTAGAGAAAGTAGAAAAGTCGTGTGTTATTTTCAATGTGAAAATGGACTCCATTTTTCCTCTGTAGTTCCTTTTGCTTTGAAAAGGAAATTTTCTTAAGTGATCTCTTTGTAGACAGCCACTAATTGCCTTTGAATAAGATCATTTTTACTTCGAAAATAATCTACATCCCTTACCTCTATCAGAGAAATGGTTAAGGTAAAAAAGGTTTATGCAAGAAAATACATTGCACAAAAATCCTGTTGAAGTCCGTTAGGAAGTCTTCGTCAAGCAACAACGGAGTCTGCACAAGGGAGCCCCGAAAAGCGCACAAAAAAATGTAATGAACAAGAAGAAGGACAGCAAAAAAATCATCAGAAATCTATGAAAAAAGAAGCTAAAAAGAAGTGAATAAGAAGTTCACAGTGCGTAGCAAATATTCATGTGAGGCGAAAGGTACAGATTTCTGGGCTAGTGTTTTCCCCAGTTTCTTTCAAGGGCATGTTGTTGCAACCTGGATGCCTTCCGCTTTTCCTTTTTAGTCAGTCTTTCTTTCCTAATTATGATATTCGCTGTTTTACAACATTATAAACAGGTACTCAAAATAACAAAGAAGGTTGGATCTTTGTCGGTTCACTTCGTCGAAACACAGTCTATCTTATATCAGACTACCTTCCATGGAGATGCATATGAAAAAGTGAACTACAATCGTAAAGTAAAAAATATATAGAATTGTTAAAGCAATTGTATACAACATTACAATAAAAAGAAGAATGAAAAAGCCTTTGAGTAGCATTTCTTCATTTTAGTGACGATAATATATGCATGTACGTATATACCTTTAAGACGTTTATTATTTCTTGAATTTTGCATTTAACCCAAAAATTTCGTGTTAAGTCTCATGCGATACGAGCAGCAATAGCAATGACTTTTTGTTATGAACACAAAGAGCCCTACCGGTTCAATTGAATTTATTGTCATTGACATGTTGGAAGGGATGGGAATCGATGTATCAACGCCGATCTCACAGCACCATTCCTCTAATAAAGAGTCACCTGGAAGTCGTTGGTTTTGTACGGAGGTGTTAAAAAGACGCTTAGCAGAGATGCAGTAGCTATGTGAAGAGGGTGAAGCACAGCCCGGCAGATTCATAAGAGACATTATTTGAAAAACATTAGTGGTTCAATCAGTAAGTCGCGACATTTAAGCGTTCCCTCGCTCTTTTCTTTATTCTGATACTCTATTCACTTGTTTCTCTCATAAGGATTGATTCTAATGAGTAAGATTGACTACATTTTCTTTTTATACAATATTGTATTTACATTTTGAATAATTTTGGTATACATATGGAAATCTAGAGGTAGCATTTTAAAAAGGTGGCAATGTCAGAAGGAAGCTTCTGTTGATGCTGTAGAATCTTTATATTATTTATTCATCGTCTTTAGCTAAAAAATGATTTTGGCATAACTCGAGGAATTAAAAGTTTATTTTATTCCTCGTAACACATATTCTCGTTGTATTTTTCAAGGCAAGTATGTTTTCGCTATCATGAAATTGTGAACTTCCTTTAGGAAAATGAATATGTCCGTTGGCAATTCGTATTCATATTATGATTATTGTTTATTGTTTTCTACGGTTTGTGGCCTTGATATATATTTTACCTTTTAGTTTTCTAAAACTTTTCTCTAAAATATCTATCATTTGAGTAAGCTTCACTGTGGTGTATTTTCTGATTACATAAAATTTATCATTGTAAAAATATAATTTCAAACAGGAAATTTTAAGATAAATAAGTTGAACATAAATAGAGGTGAGGGTTTAAAAAGAAGGAAAAGAAAAAGATATCATAACCGCTGTACATCTGAAAATGTCTGCTCCCCAAAAGGAGGAATCCGGTAATGTGCATCCGCTCAACCGCAGTTGGACGCTGTGGTACGACAGCTCATCAACATACAACACAGAAAGCTGGGGACTTTCCCTTGTTCCGATCATAACAGTGAAAACAGTTGAGGATTTCTTCCTCATGTTGAAATATATGAAGCCACTGCATGCCCTGCGTACGTCTGCTCAGTATCACTTTTTTCAGGAGGGCGTGAAGCCCATGTGGGAAGATGAAGCAAACAAGGGTGGTGGTAAGTTGTGGGTGAATATCGATCCAAATAGTCTTGTGGGCAATAATAGTCAAGCCAAAGGCCTTTTGGAGGACAACACAGTGGGCGCTTCGAATGCGAGCAGTAATGTGGTGACGGAAAGAGAAAGGGTCGATTTGGATTCTATTTGGAAAAATGTGCTCATGGCACTTGTAGGCGAAGCCCTTGAGGACCCTGATGATCCAGACCTGCAGATAGTTGGTGTGGTGATGGCCAAGAGAAAGTATCACAATCGTCTAGCCTTGTGGTTAAAGAATGGGAACAATGATAGTGCAATAGATTCGATTAAGAAGAGATTGATTCAAGAAGCGCCACTTCATGGATTAGCTCCCTTAGCTTTTACGAGGCACAGCGACTTGGCAGGAGGGAAAGGTTGACCTGATGGGAACTGTGTTATTATCGCCTTGGAATCATCCTTAAGGAAATTTATTGTTTTTTAAATTATTTCTAGTCAATACAATAAAATTGCGAATGTGACATTAAGAGAAAAAAATTTGCACCGTGAGAGTGGGCATCGTATTCAAGTGGAGAAATGGTTGGGAAAGAAATAAGTCGAAATACTCTAGGTAAGCTATCAGATGATCTGTGTTATGTTGATTTATCTTTGGGTATCTTTTGTGAAGTTCTGTACTGATTCAAAGTCAGTATGGCACACAACTCCTTTTCCTCAGTGAAGAAAATGAAATCGGAAAAAGCGAATGCTTCCAATGCAAAGGGCAAGAAGGAAGGCAATGTCTTTGGTGTTGCTTCTGGTAAATGTTTAGGAGCCCTCTGTTTCTTATTTTTTTTTCCTACATGTCTGAGTCGTTGAATGTGTTTAATGGAAATAGGTAGCAACAGAAAAAGTTCTAATGTTCTCGAACAAAATACTGTTATTGAGATCCTTTTGCATAATTAAATATCGATGCTTTTTCATTGTTTTCCATTCTTATTCAGTGCATTCAGCTGAGGCATATTTTACTCATTACTGCTTAGTTGTATTGGTTCATAAAGGCATATCCTTAATAATCCCACAGATATTACGTATTGTAAATTACTCATTTAGATATTATTCATTCAAACTGTTGAAAATCATAGACCTTTTACGGAATCCCAATATAACAAAGGAATAGGAGATGTCTACCGAAAGTAGTATGATAGCTTCACCATCCAAAAAGAGTTTCGAGAAGACGTTGTTATCATGTGATTTAAGCGCCAGTGGAGGAATGAGTATCTTGTCGCAAAGCCAAAATAAAACCAAGAATGAGGCAGCCCCTCATATTTCAAAAAGCGTATCCATGGTGAATCCCTTACCTTTTGAAAGTGGTTTTGTAACAGACAAACTGCTCGATATCGCAGAAAAACTTTGCACGGTGATTCCTCAAGGGACATGGGAGAGCCTTGGCAGTGAAATAGAGATTGGTATAGAAAATGCTACCACGGTATGCCGGAGGCCCCTCATCACTGTCCAGTTCGAGATCCCACGCCGGATGCTGCTGCAGCACCACTCTGCTCACCATAGCTTTATTACAAAGGAAGCGAGCGAAGACAGTCGCGATTTGCGTGGGGCGCCGAATCCGCTTTATCAGGTTTTCCGTGGTGAGGTCGATGAAGGTGTGCAGGCGGTAGCGCGGCGCTTTGACAGGGCTATTCAGACACACTACGCGCCGCGGGTGAACGCTGCAGTACAGGCTGTGCCCACTTTGGTGAATGCTTTCATTCATCACATGGAGTTGCCATCGAAGGAGGATTCTAAATTGATGTCTTTTCTTAACTTCGTGTTGCCGCGTACGCTGCACTGCCTGACGCAAAATGCTGAAGTTCCGATTTATACAGATGAGTATATCCTGTTTCGTGAGGACGAGGCCATGATGGGCGGCTGTGACGATTTAGTCTTATTGGAAAAAGGAAACTATGTGCACGCTGCCACCAAGAATCGTCGGATCACGAGCATCTCTTGGCGCAGCTCCCGCACAAAGGACGATTATATTTGTATCGCCTCCATCGCACCCCATGGCTTGGAGGAGCGCATCGCTGAACAGCGGCTGTGTGAAAGCAGCTATGCACTTGTCTGGGAGCTAACTGATCCAATGCACCCGCGGTACATCTTAGAGGCCCCAGCAGAGGTGCAAGTGTTGAACTTTAGTCCGGCCTTTCCCAATCTCATCGCGGGAGGTGGGATGAATGGTCAGGTGTATTTGTGGGATTTAAGCCTGGCAAAAAACGCCTCCGCGGAGCCACAGGCGCCGGAAGCGTCGCAAAGTAAATATCCATCTCTGTTTCAAGAAGGCCTCAACCTTACCTTGAATGAAAGCGAGGGAGGTAGCAACTCGTTATATGCGTCGGACGATGCGGGTTTCAAGGGGGTTGGTGAAGTCCCGCCGTTGCCAAGCAGTGTAGAAGGGGTGGTCTGGAAAAAGTATGGCGATTTGTTAGTCCCGCAGCTGCAGCCCATTCAGTCCTCTCGCATCGAAATGTCGCATCGCCGGCCGGTGCACGACATGCAGTGGCTGCCCTTGAATGTTGAATTCGCTTTTGATGGAAAGCAGGTGGCCGTGGAGCAGAGCCACCAGTTCATCACCATCAGCGACGATGGCTGCGTGTACGTCTGGGACACGCGCCCCGCGCACCTCCCCGCGGACAAGCTCCGCAAGATCAAGCATCAGGCCCAATCGAAAGGCGTCCACGCCGCGATTTGGGCGCCGCTGCTGCGGTATCCGCTCACGCGCGCGGATGGGCTTGGTGAGCTGATGGGCTTACGCGTGTGCGTCGGGGGCTCCATCGGCGGGACGTTCTGCGTGGGTACAACAGACGGCGAGCTCGCTGCGTGCCGGATGGCGTCGCAGCGGGAGCAGGCGCACCCCTCGCTCGGCCTTGCCGGCCGCGGCCCAAAGGAGGCTCGCGTGGTGCAGCACGTGGTAGGGCAGGCCCATGCGGGGCCGGTGGCCTGTGTGCAGCACCACCCCCTCATCGCGGACGTCTGCTTGACGTGTGGTGATTTCAGCTTTAAAGTCTGGCGCCTCGGCATGGACGCTCCGCTGTACGCCTCCCCGAGGCTCAGCAGCCAAGTGACGTGTGCCGCGTGGTCCCCGGTCCGCGCCGGGATAGTCTTTATCGGGATGGGGGACGGTAGAATTGTGGTTTGGGATCTACTTGATCGTAATAATGAACCGTTGCTCGTACACCACCTTGTCCAGGACGCCATCTCAGTGTTGACATTCAAACCGCTTCCGGTCACACGTTCACGGAAGTCGACTCAGCATATCGTCATCGGGACCACCCTCGGCTCGTTCCATTGGTATGTCCTGCCGAAAATACTCTCCCACGCTCCAAAGGGCGAGGCTCACTACGTGCGCACCATGTTAGAGCGTGAAGCGCGTCGTGTGGCGTACTACGGTTGGCGGTGGACGGAGCGGAGGATTGAAATGGATCGATATGGTGCCAATCTTCCCAAGATGCTCCCGATGGAGCTCTGGAACGCCACCAACGTTGTGCTCACCATGACCCAAAACGGTGATTTTGTAGTGAAAGAAAAACCAAATCCGCAGACCCTAACTGAGGCTGGGCGATACGATAGTGATGACAGCTTGTATGGGGGGAAATTTTACAACTCGAATCCTGAACGAGACGATGTGCTGCTAGACATGGTTGCAGCGATCCGCATAAAGGAAGAAGAAAATCTTAGGGATGACTCCATGAATTTAGCCACATACAACTGAAGTGGAACAAGCTTCAACAATTATGAATGGAATGGATCTGTCGAGGGCGAAAGAATTTCCACTCTTCAGGGGCACAATAGGGAAGGGATTCTTTGATCTACTGATCTGTTAGTCTATACGATGTAAATAGGTACTAATTATGATTGTTTACGCCATTTCCGCTATGAAGGGCTAGAAGATTCAAAAATAGGCACACAAAAAAATCATACGCAACACATAAATAGACGGGCAGCTATAGATTTTTTTTTCAGGTCGAATCCTTTGTGTTCTGAAGAAGAACAATAATGGAGAAGTCGTGCGAATCAAAGCAACTACTCAAATTTTTACTTAGCTTCTTGCTTCTTTTCATTAGCTTTTCTTATCAAGCATTATTGTGTATTATATTTTTGTTTTAAATTAGCCGATTCAATTGCTTTTAGGGATTAGTCATTGAATTCATCTGGAATATTTCCCCACGTTCGAATAGTAATAACAAATTATAACTTGAAAACAAATATTTGCTTAGCGGTATTTTCAACTCAACCTTCTTAAGGATTTAGTTTATTCCAATGAGTGCGCTTATTCACAATCCGGATCAATTTATTAGCTTACCATTTCGTCGTTGTGAAAAAAATGTCCCAGACTGGGAACTGTGTGCGAAATACATTGCTGCCAACTATCCCAGCAACAACAACACTCATATAAGAAATGCCATCAAAACCATGATCGATAGTCACAACATCATCGCCAAAGTCTTCTCGTCGGAAACAAAGTCTTCGCTAACCGGGGGCTTTATCGACCAAATTTTGAAGCCATATTGCAAGCTAATTGTCATGGCCCAGGCACACCTACCGCTGCATAGTGGAAAGGTTAGTAAAAATCTTAAATTTTTCTGGAGGGACAGCTTCAATGAGGGGCTAAAATACGAGTCCCTTAATGCAAATGTCGAGCTGGTGAGTTGTATTTACAACCTTGCCGCCTCATACGCATACGTGGCTGCTCAGCAAGCTCAACATGGAACCATCGAGAGCATTAAGGAAGCTTTTAAAAATTATCAAAACGCAGCGGGCTACTACACTATGGTAAAGGATCTGCTGTTCCGAGTGCCACCAGAACACCGCAACAAAGGTGATTTCAGGGAAGAGTCGATTGAACTTATGATCAAAGTCTGCCTGTCTGAGGCCCACCACTGTGGTTATTTGAAGGCCGAAGAGGCGATGAAAGATAATCAGGAAATGCTTGCCAGGATTGCTAAGGAAGGTGCAAAAATGTTTGCGGAGATCCACGCGCTGATGGCCAACTCAATTTGGTGCCAGGAGAAGACCTGTTTCGCCAAAAAAATGTTGGTTCTTATGAGTGTCGATGCTTGCCTTTTCGAGGTGAGAGCCTGTCTTCATCTAGCAGTTAAGAATGAAGAAGATACTAAGATGGGTACTGCGATCGGATATTACAATAAGGCTCTCCAAGTCCTCGACAAACTCCCAAAAATGTCATCCAATGGTATGGCAGCGTGGGCAGGTAGCGTGGCTAAAAATGCTAAGACTGCTTATAGGAAAGCGTTGGACATGAATTCTTCCGTGTATTATGAACGAGTTCCGAAGGAGGTTCCCGATGTTGATGGTTTAACACGTTCGTTAGGTCGCGTCATTGAGAATACAAGCTTTATCAGTGGTGCCTTCGTTCGTGAAGATGATCCGTTCTTTGGAATTGTTCCGGTCCACGTCTCAAATTTGGCGATGAAGTGGCGAGAGAAAGAGCGCAGTCGTGTTAAGAGCTGCAACGATACCGCTACTGAATTTTGTGAGTCTGCACAAAATAAGATGGAGCAGCTCGGTGTGATGTCCATCATACAGACGTTTTCCTGTGATACGCAGGGCCATCGGCGCATTCCGGAACCCCTTTGCACCAAGATTCTCAACCTCCGCACTGGATCTGAAGGTCAGGTGGTAAGCGTAACTCAAAATATTCTGGATTCCGTTAAAATCAACAAAGAATTACAGACTATTTTGACCGAAAAGCTTCATGAAATTTTCGAGATGTTCAATGAAGAAAAGATGAAAGATGATAAACTTTCGGATTTGTATGGAGAGAAGATCTGGCGTGCAGTGTACCCGGAGCTGAAGCAGACTCCTGAGTATAATTCCATCATGGCCGCTTACGACATGCACAAACAAAACCTTGAGAAGTACATATCGGACCAACTTAATACCAACATGCAGACTTTGGATCAAAATCTACGTAATATTGCTCGCTTGGATTGGAAAATGGACGATCTGCATTTTTTAATCCCCTTTGCAGAGACTAAGGAAGTTCATGAACAGTCTACTAAAGTAAAAAAGTGGATTGATGAACTCAAGCAAGTTATGTCCGATTTTGAAGTGACGGTAAGTGAACAGAAGGCCGCACAGAATTCTCTGTGGGATCTTTTGGAATCAGACGCAATTGTTTTTGGTTTATCAGCTGTCGAAGGTACCCAGCAAGATACCATTTTCGAGAATGAATCCCGCTCTATATCAGATGGAATTGCAAAAGTTACGAGTATAACACAAAAACAATCGGAACTGGTTGCTCGAGCCGAGAAGATTATAGAGGAGGTTTCCAAACTGCAGAGCATTGATCCTCTTACGCAGGAAATGCAGAAGGTCACCAATGGCTTGGAAAACGCATACAATGTATACAGGGAGCTTTTAGAAAATTTTAAAAACATCGCACAGTATACCTCTAGAATCATAACTGAAGTTGAGGACACACTATCTACAGCCAAGTCTTTCATCAGAACCCGTCAAGCAGCAGCTCAAGAACTTCAGATTCAACTAGATGCACAAATCCAGGCTAAGATGGACGAGTTGAAGAATATTGAAAATGAACTTTCCCACTCACGAAAACGACAGGAAGAGATTCGTGCCCAAATGGAGCAACTGCAAGGCTCACCGCCATTGTCAAAACAACAACACGTGTCGGCACCGTCGATGCTTTTTAATCCGTATGGATATCCCGTAACAAGCAATGCATTACCACAACAACCGCCGCATGCGCTGGCTTTCTCATCCTCCATGGGGGGCCAAGGCGCCCACGAAAGCCCACCACCTGATTACAATTTTCTTACAAGCAACCCGCCCCCCCCACTATCTTCAATGTATGAACCTCCGCCTTCTATGTGTATTTTTCCTTCCCCGCCAAATATGACGATGGGTGCGTATGCGCCTAATCTTGGCAACAATTCGGTTGCAAACAACCCGCAAGATGCACAGGCCTACCCTCATGATCGCCCTTATTCTTGATCCTTGTTTCTGGATATTATCATGAAGGGATACAATAGCTACGACGAAAATAATAATTTTAAAAGCCATAGATCGTTCCCATATTATTTTTTAATAATTTTCCTTTTCCGCGTTACACGAATGTATACATATCTCTGCAGGCAATGCTAGATTTTAAGGAAAGTATATTACAATAAGTCTGTGTGTGTGACACTTTTCGTATTACCACTAGTAAGCTCATTCTTTCTAGATAGATTTTTGTACGTTTTTTTCTGAAACACATTCGCATTAGTTGGATTCCTATTTTAGTGAATCTATCTCTTACGGAGATATTTTTCTTCTTTTCATTGCTTCGGGAAGTCCATTACATAAGTTACGTTTATCAAAGTAAAAATGTTGGTCCCACTCCTTTGCTATCCTTCATCATATTTTATTGCGCTTGTGAAGAAAGTGCAATGTACTAAGCTTCAACTTGTAGTATCTTATTTGATAGCCATTGTGGGATGCTTGAAAATGATATAGTGATAAATCTCCTTGTGTTAATTTTGTTGATAATCATTACATTTTTTTTCCATTAATACTCATAGATTTTTTTCCCACTTAGTGTCTCCTCTTGTTGAACATTTGTATATTGTTCATTATGCCTAGTTTTTTAAATGCTTAGATCATAGAGTAGCGTTGGTTTCTTCACTTAGACAATGTCATTTATTTACATGTTTAGTCTATAGTGTAGAAGATCGTGTGCACTTATGCATCCAATTGGTCTTCTCTCCGACGCAATATACTAACCGATGGCAGAAACACTGAAGGTATTAAGGTAGTGCTTTTCCACTTTAACAGTCCTCAGCCCCTTTGTTCCGCCTTTCTAAATTTAAAACCCGTTAAGCCTTTAGCACGAGTCATCTGATTTTATCTGCCATTTCTTATTTTATGTTTTAAATATGCATAAGATGAATGACAGAAATATCCTTAATTGCACATCCACATTCCGCCCTATGATCTCTATTATTCTAATTTCAGTGAACGAGTCGGAACGAGGGTAAACCTTAAAAAAGTGATATAATTCTGAACATCTTAATAAGGGATAATGTTTATTCTTTTGCATTCCTCCTCTCAAGTAGAAAAAATTTCTGGATTAGTAAGGGTAATCTTGTTAACGTTGGTTTAGCTGTTTATTTGGCGGAGTTCACACCAAAGTGTGATACTAGCAAAATTGCATTGAGGCTGAAATGTTTTACTTGCGTAGAGAAAGACAATTACATAAACACATACATATAGAGAAAGACTTTATGGACGGTTCCTAGTGGCACACAATAGTTGGGCTATTGAAAATAAGATGAGTGATTTCGGCGAGCCGTTCAGGCAGGATACTTCCTTTATGTGGGCAAATGTTCCATTGCTTTCTCTCTTTTCCCCGAGTCCACCAGCAAGACCAGCATTGTCAACGAACAACATAGAGGAGGAAACGATACAAGCGATTCGAGAAAGACTTTCGCTCTTGAATGACGGTAACTTTTCCAGTGTAAAAAATAGCGCTTCTCGTCATAGTCTGTCAGAGGAAAATAAAAGAGTAGTTATTTTAAAACTAGGCCGTGAGGACCTTCGCGCGTGTTCTTGCCACAAACTTAATGACACACCGCAAGGCAGCCCAGGGAGAGGCGGTACAGGAAATGATGAATGTGTACAAAAAAATCAAGAGGGTTTTGAAACAAATGGGTTCATTACCTCTGCCTTCGAAGAGCTTCCATCGACATCTGACTGCTTTGATGAAACCCAATGGAAGGGGCCATACAAAGCAACAGAGGAGCCACAGGTCCCCTTCAGAACACAGCATCATGATATTGAAAAGTGTTTCCGCACGCAAATGGAGGTTAGCTGCGCGCTTAACGTAGCTTTTCAACAGCTATCTACAATGGAAAGACAAGTGCATATGCTGCGGGCAGAACAGCGCACCACCGAGCTCGTAGCGCGTCTTCGATCAGAAAAGGTTTCATCTTCTGCGGTGTTAGCCAAATCTAGTTTGTTTTTCACTCCTCCTTCTGGTATGCCGCCATCATTTCCCATGCAACTACCAAAAGATTGTCATAATTCTTTCTTGTACAAAGCGGTTCCAAGGTCCGTTGTCGAACGGGAAGAACACAGCTTGTCAGCTGTTTTTAATCCAATAAAAAATATACTGGACTCTTTCTCGAGGCCACAGGTGGCGCTTAGCTGGAAAAATGAACGATTGACTCATAAGAAAGAACATTTGTGCGTCCCCAATGCTAGAGTTGAGATTGTCAGATCAAAGCAGACACCACAACCTTACAAAATTATTCGTTGGGTTCCACAAAGTCCACCACCCTCATATTTGAGTAGCAGTTCCGACGATCTATTTGAATCGTTTCTTCTAGAGGATAGAAACAGGAAGACAGGAGTAGACGTTGTTTCAGAAATTCATCGCTATAATACAACGTGCGATGATGCTTACACAGATGATTTTGAGTGGATTGAGGAGAGCAAAATAATGTTATCAGTAAGAACTGAAAGTAGTTTGGGGCATTTTACCATTCCGGAGACTTATATAGAGACGGACATAAGCAAAATTGATTCGTTCTCTGACAGCAAATCGATAGCATATTCACCCCACTCTTCGTTTATTATGTGTGATTCGAGTTTACCTGTGCAGTGTAGCACCTCCACAATTCTTCCTTCGGATGGCACGCGATTCACACCCACAAATTCAGCTTCAAGTCTATCAGATGAAGCTGAAGACAGCGATGACACAATCTACGTCAGTGAAAAGATAGCTCTCTTACACGATTCTCTAGAAAGCAGTGAAAAGCAACTGTTTGAAGGGATCACGAAAGAGTTAAATCAAGCGTGTTATAACTCCAACTTGATTGTTTCTGGTATCCCTGTAGATCGTTTTCAATCACCAGACGTCGTTTCCGATATCTGCAGCATCCGAGAAGGAAATCAGAAGCAAGGCAGAGGACTTCACTTGTCAAGTGATATTGGCTCAGGGGTATCGCAGGAGCTCCTAAAAGATTTGAATGATCTGCGAAGACTCCAACGCATTGAGCAACGCCTCGAAGACTATCTTAAGGACCTCAGCTTACATAGAAGTATTTACAGTAAACCACAGGATCTTCCTTATAAAGTACAACGTTTGTCTCGTGTGCGACAACACCCGCGTGAAAATCTGACTGTTTATTTAAGGGACATAACGAGCCACGATATGATCAAAGAGGATAATTATCAAGAGGGTCCAGCACTCGAAGCGAGTTTCCAAGTAGAGGATGAAGTAAGAAATTGGCTTCATGGTATCGTTGCCAGTAGTAATGAAGGAAGCGAAGTGTCTCAAAAGGTGACAGATTTCACAACGAATGACAAATTAGTTCTCAATATTGACTTAAATACAGGTTTCCATATAGACGAGGAAATTATCGATGAGCTGGACAACCTATCGCATCTCCAAAAGGATGGGAGGAAGCCGAACGTCCATCCAGACGACTTTGGCTGCAATATGGCTATTGTAGATGATATATTGAAAGACAGTGATAGTTTGTATCAAAGGTCTGACAGGTACGAAGGATATGTAGTTGATAACTTTGAGGAAGCCTCCAAACTTTTCGACGACATCAATGCAATTGATCTACCTCCTGACGGTATTGCGAACACGATTGCGTCTGTAAATTCTCTCCCATCAATTCAGCCTTTAAAGAGGTCAATTTCCATCGCTTCACATGTATCCTCTGCCATAGATTCTTCTTCGCAGGGCGCGAATATTTCCTTTCAGTATACAATTTCTTCCTGTTCACCCACCTCGTGTGTTGACGAGCTGGAGGGCGTTGGCGTCAGTCGCAAAAAAGTAACAGTTGAAGGTGAACAAGTGCGCTTCGCGCAGGAGCGGCTACGCACGTCGCCGCGACGTTCGAAGACGATAAGCCATCTTCAACCGGTGCAAACTTTCGCGCAATTGTACAATCCACACACACCATCATCTATAGAATCCTCAGATTCTCCCGCTTCTATCGCATCTTCTAAAGAGCACGCTGCCGCCATCCATGGGGCGTTAAATATCTCAACGAATATTGTTGATAAAGCTGAGGAGTTAGATAGAGGGTTAGCGACTGAGGGACTACTTTCACCGTGGAATTTCCAGTGTTTATCGCGAAGACGAGCCATCAATTTCAAAGTGAAGGAAAGACCATGCTCACCGGTAGAGAATGTGTTACCACTGAAGGTTGACGACAGTGGGAGGAAACAAAACTTAAATTGTATTTTGTTTTCAAAACACAACCGATACATCGAAGAAGAATTGGTGGCTTGGGATGTTTGGAAAGGAAAACAGGTAGCTCGCATAAAGCGATTACTCTTCAGTTTAGCAGCCAAAATGGAAGGTCAAATCTCAAAAAATGATACGAATTCTGGTAATAAAGAAGAAAACACTTTGAAACATTTTAAAGTCTTTGAAACATTACTGGAAAATCGACTTGGATCAAAGCAATCAACAGAACATGATCGCAGCTGTACTCATTTACTCGAAGAACAACAAAAAATATTACTTCAAAATAGAAAAGATCATTTCAAAAAGACCATTTGAAATACCCAAGAGCTAACTGACTCCACAACTTTCACTACAAAAGTTTACAAAAAAAACTAATAACAAATTATTAAAATGTGCAACAAATCACTAAAATCATATTTAATATTTCCCTAGGGCATAAAATACTATGAAAAAAATCAGAATACCACTAAATGCTTTCTCTAGCCACATCGTTTGTAAGATTATCATCATACATTTATAACACACGCATTCTCTTTCTTGAGACCGTAAAATTACAAGTCCGTTTCATAAATCGCCGATTCAAACACTCGCCCAGCTAAACACACACACACCTATTTGCCTTAGCAGCCCGTATCTCGGACAGCGCGAAACAGAATGCGCACTAAAACAGCATCAATGGCACTCTTTTGTGTGGCGCTCTTATTGCTGAAGATGGTGCAGGCGGATAATTTGGTTATGGAGGCTGGTTCGCATCGACCAAGCGATGGGTTGAACCCAAGTCTCGCTCCTACTCAATCTGGGACAACAAATTCTTGCAACGTCAAAAATTGTGCGGAATGCAAGGATGATGTGAATACCTGCAACAAATGCCAAGATGGGTATAACTTGCATGACAATGTATGTAAAGAATGCAACGTCGCAAATTGTGCGAAATGCGCGACTGATATCAATACCTGTACACAATGCCAAGCCGGGCTTATATTGAGCACCAAAGGGAAGGCTTGCCAGATGTCTAATGACGGAGCCTCTCGGATCTCCGGTCCGCTGCTTATTGGAGTCGTATCGGTGCTGGCAACCGCAGCATTGTTGTAGGCCGTCGACGGAGAAGGGGAAGCAAAAGGGGTGAAAGCCTGGTCTTCGTCATTACAGCAAAAATTCTTTCACTCAGATGCAGCAATAGCTCATTTGTCATCTTACTAGCCTTACTAAATTAATAACTCGCTATTTTCGATATGATTTCACGGCGTCTATAATAGTATCTTCGATGTATTTTATTTAGGTGTGTCACTTTCAGTCTTTATTGTTTCAACGCTTAGCTGTCTTTATAACCCAATGTTTTTATATTCATGTTTTGTTTTGATTTTTTTTCCTTACACTAGAGTATAAAAAATATTTACTTTATCGACTAAAAGATTAACAAACAAACACATTAAAACAAGTAAAAAAATATCTTATGCATGGACTTTATTTTTCAGTTTTTGAGCTTTTAAAGGATGATGTGACAATCGGTCTTTGACTTTTCTGCACGGAGAAACTTTATCCTTTTGTAGATTTCTTTTCTTGTCTTTTCCTTGACTCTTTTGCAACCTTTCTTTTCAAGGACCCTATTTATGCTCTTAATATTTCTTTAACTCATGGTTTTAGATATTTGGATCTGCCAAGGTAACACGATAAAATGACTCGTTTCATAGGTGCTTGTTTGTGTGTTTATTAGGCTTATTATTTTTTATACATGTTCTTGTCTCATATAACTTCTTGCACCGTGTCACTGCAGAAGTTTCGCTTGTTTCCTGATACACATTTAGGCGAAAAGTGATCACTTCTTTTCAGCATGAAAATTCGGAAATAAAATGTTTTTATCCGTATCTCCGTTTTTTGTAGTCTCTCCTCAGCTACATGACCTGCCCTTCCTTTATTAGTATCCATTTCATCAAGATAGTTTTATTTCAGATACTCTTGGTATTTACTTGAAGTCCTTCCCTTTTCTTCGTGGATATCTCATATATTTTTTTCATTTCGATAATACACAATGCAAATCCACTTTGAATCTTCGGCTCCATCGCTCACCAAGGATGATGTTGAGCGATTTTCTCGGCAGATGCTTTGCGATAATATCGGTGCCGCCGGGATGGAGCGCATTCGGCGGACTCGTGTGGCTTGCATTGGCGTAGGGGGCCTTGGCAGCATGGTTGCGCTCTACCTCGTGGCCGGCGGCATCGGAAAGCTCACCGTGGTCGACTTTGATCAAGTAGAGCTGTCCAACATGCACCGCCAGGTCATTCACACCATAGAGCAACTCGGCGTCCCCAAGGTGGTGAGCGCGCAAAAGGCCTGCCTCGCGATCGACCCCAAGGCCGCGGTGGAGGGGATTCAGCTACGGCTCTCCGCCGACAACGCCGAGCGCCTGCTCCGCGATGTGGACGTGGTGGTGGACGCCACCGACAATGCGGCGGCACGGTATCTCATCAACGACGCGGCGATGCGTCTAAGGAAGCCGCTGGTGAGCGGGAGCGCCGTGCGCTGGGATGGGCAGCTGTCGGTGTACGGCTACCAAAACGCGCCCTGCTACCGATGCCTCTTCCCGCAACCGCCGCCGGCGGAGACGGTGAACAGCTGCAGTGACGTCGGGGTGGTGGGGCCGGTTCCCGGTATGATCGGCTGCCTGCAGGCCCTAGAGGTGCTCAAGCTCGCGGCGCAGGCGGGGAGCGTGCTGAGCGGCCGCATGCTTATCTTCGACGGGCTTAGGATGTCGATGAAAGTGGTGGAGCTGCGCCCGAAGCAAGCGAACTGCGCGGCATGTGGCGGGGAAGAACTCATCAAACGCGAGATTCCACTCACCGAGCTCATGCAGCGGGAGCGCCCCGAGTACGGCATGTCCTCGTGCGCGACCGGTAGCCTGTATAGCTTGCCTGGGGAGTTTTGTGTTTGCACGCGAACGTTTTTCGAGCGATGGGGCAAACAGTATCTTCCCTGGAGGCAAGAATCGCTGGCGGATGTGCAGTCAGGTGACCTACGCGTTGCAGCTCGTGACGTTTCAGTCGGGAACGTCACCACCCCATGCGAGTGCGATCGAGAGAATCAAAGCCGCAACTCATCCTGGACTTTGTGCATCGATGTGCGTCCGCGCCACCAGTACGATATGGCTCACCTGCCACGCAGTTTTTCTTTGCCCCTAAGCGTCCTTCAGCAGTCGGATGCCGAAGGTAAGCTTCGGGAACAGTTTACAGAGTTTTTGAGGATTTGCATTGAAGCCGACACTTCGTACGCGAAAAGTATAAAGCAAGAAACTAATGAAATGCAAATAGAATCCAGAGGCGCCGCCCTAAACGATTTTTCTTCAACAGACAGTCTTGAGAGTTGTGAAGTATTCTTTATTTGCCGTCGTGGTGTATCATCTGTTAAGGCGATGCATTTACTTTTAAAATTGGCTCATTCGTCCGAAAATGGTTTGATATTAATTAATTTTGAGAAGGAAGGATCTGATACAGGTAGGGAAGCCATCTCAAAGCAAATAAAGGTTTTCCTTCGCAGCGTGAATGGCGGGCTTAACGCTTATCACAGGGAGGTAGATTCTGAATTCCCCTTTTATTGACTTTACTATTTGGTAATTACGCCACAAGTGAGTATAAATGGCAAATAAGAGCTGCCCTCCCTTTCCCCTTTCCTCATCACTCCCCCCCCCCCCCCTCGCTTTGTTTTCGGATGTGTACCATGCTCAAGATCCTGGATAAATTGTCGGAAGAAATATAATTAGGTATCATGGAAACAAAAGTTTGCAAGCTGGATTCAAAGACAATCTTAATTAGCTTTGTGATTCTTTTTCATACCTATTTTTCTCTTGCTTAGCTATAATTGGTAGAAAAAAACATTGTGCTCGGAATTGAATTAGTGGCCATTTTTTCTTCTTTGGTCACTGATTTTGTGGAAAATAGGCTAGCTTTTCTGGAATATGCTTTTTCTACTCATCCATCCTTTTTTCAATTTTTTTGTAGCAAAGTTTTCTATTTTTATTTCTCTCAAAAGGCAAGTAATTCAAACAAAGGGTGCTTGATTACCAAAGGATGAGTCGACCATACAATAAGAAACGCGGCGGTGGCGGCTTCCACAGTCCCTTTCCCTACGTGCGCGCGAACAACGGTGTGATGGGTGCACAACCTGGGGCGCCAAACCGTGTGGAGTATCGTGGAAATCATCAACACAACAATCGACGTGGAGGCAGGTATGGAGGGACCCGGGGAGGTAGTGAAAGAGTCGTGGATAGCCATATTGCGGGTGTGATGAAAACGCTCCTCACTCTTCTGTTTGAAAAGTCAGCCGGCTGCTTCAATACCGAAACTGGGATGCTCAACATATCCGATATGCGTGGTAGTCCTGATCTCGCGTCGGCTTCAAAGAGCGTCGACTTCAACAACGTCGCATTTTGCCGGTGCATTGCCGAAGTTCTGCGCAAGCAATTTGGTAACCAAATTCGCTTCATAGACATCAGCAACAACCAGATTCGCAGGCTGACACCCTTCCTTCAAGCGTTAATGGAGGTCAACATTCACGCCAGTATCGCTGCTATCAACGCAGCTAACAACGACATCGATGATCTCTCCTTCCTTGGACAACTCAAGGAGTTTCCGCTGCTTACGGAGTTACTTCTCACGAACAATCTCGTAACGAATCACAAGGACTATCGTGGCCAAATCCTTCGGACGTTGTCGAACTTAACTATGCTTGATGCTGAGCCTGTTAAACGAAACCTGCTGATGCTCCCCAACCCTCTCCGTGCGCCCTCGCAGGGAGAGCTACATTTGCAGGTTTTGGATTTCCTCAATCGCAACCTCCTGTCTGTGATGAACTACGGGGAAATAGATCAAATTGTGCCACTATATGCGCAAGGTGCAGCTGCACTGTCGATCAGCCAGAACGAAGCGCTCTGTTCATCGCGGTTGCCCATCAATGTAGTCTGCCGCACTGTCGACCTTTCAAAAGTTATGCGAAATGCAATGCAGGCTGATCTTACTGCGGCACGCAAAGCGATTAATTGGCGAAATCTTCTCAGTAACACTTCTTGCATACGTAATGTAGCCCAAAAGCCTTCGGAAATCAGGAGCTATCTCAGAGCGTTTTGTGGTTTTGGCTTAGTCCCAAGCTTGCAGTTCTGTCAACTCATCAGCGCGAGCGCGTCGGTGAGTGTGTTGGAGCATGAAATGAAAGTGCGTATTTATGTGGTCACTCTTCACGGCAGGATGAAGTACCTTTGGAACCCAGTCGACTCCTCCACTGGCAATCGCGTCTTTCCGGAGGGGAAGGAACCATTCGTGCCGCGCCACTTCGACCGCACGATTGTGATGGTGGATACAAACAACACAGTAAGCATCACGAATGACATGATCTTCTGCCGTCCTAATCACGGAGTGCTGCCGGATGAAGATAATTCGCTCTTCTTCGCCGACAGTGATGATCGCGTGGAGCAGATGCGGCGGAAGCTGCTCCCCGGTGCGAATTGTGAGGTGATGAAGCATCTCGTCCTGAGCTCCCAAAGCGACTACGCGCTGCAGAATTTGGTGCAGCAGATCCTGCAGGCGGGTCCTCCTCCGGAATCCCTCCACTCGGTGGAGGCTGTGAAGAATATGTTGCAGCTTTAGACCTCATTTTTGTTTATTTGCTTGCTTGTATTTTTTTACTCGGCTCCTTGGACGGTTTATCAGATATGTTGGTTATACGGTCAACATATTCCCTGTAGAAAATAACAAATTGATATAACAAGATTGCAAAAGTTTTGCAAATTGGTGCAAAAGGGTGATGAATATGGACAAAGGCAATAGAGGACGGCGGTGAATCTGTCAGAAAGTGTACAATGATCATTTTGGTTTTTGTGTGTAGAGAGCACTCTACTGTATCACGTTGATATACATATTCCCATATGTATAATGCTGTTTGCTTTTGTATAAACCACTGTTTTGTGAAAGCCATAACATGATGCCTCGAAGAAATCGTAACAGGCTACTTCTAGTGTAGTATTTAGAGTTTAAGATTCAGTTACTATGATGTTGATGTTGAGTTTGCAATAATATTAAGGTAATTAAACGAACACAAATGGCATGAATTGATAATCCTACAAAGAATTCTCTTGAATGCATTCGTTAAAAATATGCATGTAATATTATATTTAAAATGAACATGAACTGGCACGTCATAACACTAAGCTGTGTGAGAGAGTGGAAACGCTCTCTTTCATTCAGAGTGGGAAGCGGATAAGAGGAAAGGTGAACAACAAAAGTTACTGCATAGAGGGAAAAGAGTCGTGAGCAAAAGAGCAATGCTAAATCGATTCAGACAAGAATATGCAAGACAAAAATTTTAAGAAATGAGTCTAGGCATTTATAGTATTTCGTCCAGAAAATGCTTTTAGGGTTCAATGTTACCTTCCCCTCTCATCCCCACCACCACTAGAGAGGTTTCCCTTAATCCTATTGAAGGGCGCTGGAGCGCCATCGAATAATTTTGGATCATCACGCATACACACACATGTGCAAACACATATAGCGAAGGGAAACGTTTTTCGGATTGCATTAGACGTATTATTTCGATAACCGCATTAGTGATATTTTGAAATACTCTGCATTGTGTTTGTTGCGTACTTCAATAGGGTGTAGAGAAATGGGTGATAAAAAGAGCTAAAGGGAAGTAGTCTACATGAAATAAATAGATAATACGGCGCACAAATTAGATTAGCCAGCGACACTGGATTCCTATGATTCCTATTGCTCCTCTTTCTTGATCTTCATCTTTCATTATGTCATAGTTGTTCCTTTATGTTCTCTTATCCTCTTCCCATTCTCTCCAGTCCTTGGGTTATTGGCACCAGATCTATGTTGGACGGGAAAGGCAAATTAACCATTTCCTGGCACATTGTTTTCTCTTACGAACAAACTATAGCTTGAGATTACAAACATTTTTCTTCATTTTTTCCATCTTCTTTTCGCTTTTGCAACAGGCGATGTCAAGTCAAGCTTAAGTATTTAATTTGTTAAACAACACATGCAGTTGACAATCAGGTGTTAACGAATCTAATAGGCCCATATGTTCCCTTACTCTTGAATAGATTTATGTTTGTATCGCAAATTATGGGGTATTGATTTATTGCAAAAAATAATGCCTAAACTATTCAAGATGTTACTTTTTACTAAAGGAACAACACTACACCTGATTCTTAGATTCTCAGCAAAAAAATATTTCATTCAGTATTGCGCATACACATTATATGACTATTCAATCGTATTTGAACTCTACTGTGGCATCAGATTGCCATGCGGATATCATCTGATATATAGAAACTCAGATAAGTATTATAATTATTCTTTTACGGCACAAGATTGTTCTATGGAATGTGCTTTAAAGAGTCTTAAATTGCGTGAAACGTTTTTACCTCATGATTGCACGATCATGTTGTACATTCGTGGGAAAGTGATTTTATGGACTCGCTCATTTAACGCATGGTTTAAATATTTTGTCATAAAATTATACTGACTCCGAATTGGCTAAGGGTTTAATCAATGCATAAAAGTCCACCAAAAGGTTTTCTTTTTCCCTCTTAATCATTTCTGTAAATACACATAAAATTTTGCTCAGTATATATAAATACATTAATAAAAATATATATTTATACGTTTAGCATCTGCTAAACTAAATATAGTCAACAAATATCTTACTAAAAAAATATTCTCTACAATTAACGCCCTTATGTTTGAAATAGTTTCCGGCACTCCAATGTTCCTTAGTGCATATAGGAGTTTGTTGAGTCGGTTATGTGTCAATTTATATAACATGTATAAGATCATGCAATTTACCACCTGGAAAAGTGTTAGAGAACCAGTGTCCTATTCCCTTAAAAAGGTAGCAATCTCTTCTCAAACCTGTTTTTTTTTTAATTAATAACACGCCATGCCTTTTTAGCGAGTTTGATTTTACAAACAGAACCTTGTAAAAAGTGGCACTTGGCAGTTTTGTGTGATCTCTTTCCGGTACTTTTTCCCTTCAAATCATCATTACGTTTATTTAATCACGTGGGTAGTGTGAAGATGCCCTCATTTTAATATTGACTGAATGGTATTAAAATAAAGATAAAAATATAGACAAGAGGGTAGGGCACGCATTTTTGCATCGAATAGTACCTCCCGCTATAACTTCATGGTATGCCAGACCAATCGATATAATTATCTTTTCCTGCCTTGGTATGCTTATCCATTCCACTACATAATAGTGTTCAAGGACAAGGGAGTTCTAACAACCATGGCAACAATGAAGTGTAGGGGCGGCTATGAATAGAACCAAAGTTAATATTTCGGGTTCTATTTTGAGTTCGCTCAGAGCGTATACGGTGCATTTGTATGCGATCCATTTTTTTCAAAGTGTTAATCATTTCCTTTACACATTATTTGTGATAAAGACCTATTTGACTTCATTATGTTTTTTGTTTGCTTTGCCTAGTTCAAGGAGAGCTCCTGTTTGGTGTCTAAGGAAAAATTTTCCATCACCTCTTTCTTATAACCCCTTTCGTATCTATCTATTTGAAGATCGGCAATGCCTCAACCTTACAATAAGAGCAATGGAAAGAAAACCGCGACTAAAAATTATAGTACACCTTGTAAGTACTTCCAGCGAGGCCGCTGCACGAATCCTCGGTGCCCTTACCTGCATGTACGGGCCAGCACAGATGCTGCAACCCCAGGTCTTAACCCGAAAGTGGAAACCACTATTTCCTCCAACGTTGGTGTCGACATCATGAAAACAATGTTAAGACTCTTCTTCGAAAAGCAGCAAAATGCCATTTACAACGTGGAGCAGGGATTGTTAAATCTGTCCCACCTGGGACAGCACGAGGACCTCCGATCCGTTTCCTCAAGCATTAACTTCAACACAAAGGCCTTCTGCAAGGCGTTGTGCCATTGCGTCCACGAGATCTGTCTCCCACCACCCTCAGCGCTGAGTTTGGAGGGAAATAGCATCACCACGCTGTCCCATCTTGCGGCTGCCATGCGTGACGTGGGGCTCGACGCCGCCCTACGTGTCCTCTCCCTCGCGCAGAATGAGCTCGAGACAACGGAAGCACTGCGCGCGCTGAGACCCTTCACACACCTGGTGGAGCTTCGCCTTGCTGGAAATCCTATTGAAGAGCGGCCGGAATATCGCCAAGGAATCATCGCAGAGATGCCTTCTCTGCTTGTGTTGGACGGCACGAGCACCGCGGACCCCCCCCTGAGCCTGCCGTGGCCGCAGTTGGATGGTTCTGCCTTCCCTACCGCAGAGGAGGAACGGGGGGGCGAAAGGAGCGGGGATATCGTGAGCCCCTTGGAGGCGTCCTACGCTCTGGTTTCCTCATCGTCTCTCGGAGTTGTCGAAAAGAGCGTTTTGAGGTTTCTGCACATGAACGTGTTCGGCCCCCTTGAGTACGATGCGTTTTCTTCAGGTCGTAGCCGAGGCAACAGCAGTGTAAATGAGTTAGCAGATGTTTACGCCCTTCAAGCTGCCCTCTCACTGAGTCTCTCCTGCCCGGAAGCGGCGGTGGCGACTCCTTTAAAAACTTCGAGCGGGCAGAATCCGTCCACAGATCGCACGGTCATTCGCGAAATCGTAGGGTTCCGCATGCGACAGACGGAGTGCGACCACAACCTCACCCGTGGAATACGTTCGCCTCGGGTGGCTGTTGGTCGTGTGCGCGTGTGCACACAACTCGAGCACTGGCTTTACCCACCAAGCTTTGCGGTGAAGCACTACGTTCACTCGAGCATGAACGTAGTCAATCTCGGCCTCGGTGAGAGCTACGAAGGGGTGGTGGTGGCGACAGTACACGGCGTCATGGCGTGGTGCCACCGCACGACAGGGCCAAGGGGCAAGAACAACAGCGAAACCAACAGTGATGCGCTTGTCATACTGCGCAACTTCACACGTAGCTTCATCATCGCACCGCGGTCGCAGTTAAGCGCGGACGATATAGCCCGTGGAAACGTCCCAGCGGAGGGTGGATGGGTTATTCTAAATGACATGATTACCTTGCTGCCCTTTGCGGCTGGTGAAAACAATGGCACGCATGAATTGCCGTCCCGCACCACGGCCGTTCTCTTCGGCGAAAAGGTGTATGCGTATGGGGTCCTTTTCAGCCCCACAACTGACCCCCGTCGAATCCACCGTCACAGCTGCCGCTACGACGTTCCAGTATCAGTGGTTGGGGTGTTATGTGCTTTTGTGCACAACGACTTGGAGCTGGTTGAGATTCTCACAGATCTTAGCGGCGTTCCCCTCAATGTCTTTCAGCAACTCGCTGCACTGGTCGAACAGGACCCCATTGCGGCGGTCTTCCTGTGTCGTTTAGAGAGACGTTACAGTGTTCAGCCCGATGCCGGGGTTGAGATACTCAAAAGGTGCGAAATGAATTGGGAAGTGATTCGGAGCTCCATGGAATCATCAACTCCAACGCTCGCGAGTGTCAACGGTCCCACATGGGTGGTATAATATTAAGTAAAATTATCATAAAACAATGACGGATACACAAAATAAATAACCCTAATTGTGTTCCATTTGTAGTGTAGATAAACAGCCCTGGCCCATCATTGCAACCCACATGAATGATGAGTCCTAGCGAAATGGCTCGCAAATAGCATGCATACAATTCAACCACCTGCTAGGAGGACAAAATTTGAGTCTATGCACTGACGTAAAGGTGGCAACCACATTTGTGAGAACGACACGCTCATGTGTTTGTATTGTTGCACTTCTAAATTTACTCATGATTTGATTGTTGTCTCTTTTTCCCCGAAGAGGAAAGGATGATTTAAAAAAAATCATTTTGTTTGTTCATTCAAGTAAATAATTATTGAAAAAAAGAACTCCTCGAGCCCATAAGATATCACAAAGAAGAAGAACGGGCGTATCAAAACACGCATCTTCACTACAGGCAAGCATCATTCCATCATCATGGAGCAGCGCTGAAGATGCTATCAAAACATGAAAATTGCGCACATCATCGGCCGAGGATGAGGATTTGAGTGAATTGGAGTTCGCTGATTTCAAGTTTCCTTTGCTAGGGGCGTCCTGCCGGTGAAGTGATGCACCGCGTCTATAACCGCGGTAGTGCTTGAATTTCGGCTGGTGACCAGCTTGCTGAAATGAAATTAGCTAGAAAGTTGTGGATGCTCCTTTTCTACTTAATTCGGTGTGGTCTCTGGAATTTTGATGATGGTCACCATCACAGTGGTGCGGTAAACTTTTTCATTCGTGGGAAAATATGGAGGGCTGTTGCTCAGGGTTCGCATGAATACTCCTTTTAAATATAATTCTGGTACAGAGAAAGGTAAGGATTTTACTTAAATCTATGGTTCTCTATTTTTTATTTGTTTGGCGTATCAGTCCAAAATAGAAACTGTTTTGACACTTTTTTTCTTTTTTACCTTTTCTATTCAGAAATAAAGTCATACATATATCTATACATTTATATATAGATAGATAGATAGATTCATATTGGTACACATTTCCTTTCCTCGTCCTTGTCTACTCAAAATTTAGGAATAAAATAAAAACGAACTCATTCAGTACCATGGCCGACGAGAACGGATCTGATATGAGTGAAGCTCAGAAGACGATTGAGCGATTCAAAGTCAAGAAACTTATTCAGATGCTAGAATCTGCACGTGGGATGGGTACCAGTGTGATTAGTATTTATATGACCCCAAAGGAACAAGTTTCCGGCATGGTCACGAAGCTCAACAACGAGCACGGCACTGCCACCAACATAAAGTCGCATACCAATAGACTGAGCGTCCAGAACGCGATTACCACCGCGCTTGGTCGACTCAAGCAGTTCAACCGGGTTCCTCCGAACGGTCTGCTTTTGTACTCCGGTACCGTACTCATGTCCGACAACAAGGAGAGGCGGCTCACTTTGGACATTGAACCCTTCAAACCCGTCAGCCGCTCTCTCTACCTGTGCGACAATAAATTCCACACCGAAGAGCTCCACCGCATGCTCGAGTCCGACGATAAGTTCGGCTTTATCGTGATGGACGGCAGCGGCACCCTGTACGCGACGCTGTGTGGAGATATGAAAGAGAAGCTAGGCTCTTTCACCGTGGAGCTGCCGAAGAAGCACGGTCGAGGGGGGCAGAGTAAGAATCGATTCGCACGTATTCGCGAGGAGAGGCGGCACAATTACGTGCGCAAGGTTGCAGAAAACGCCGTGAGCTACTTTATCACGAACGACCGCCCGAATGTACGCGGTCTCGTACTTGCCGGCTCTGCGGACTTCAAGGAGGTGCTCTATCAGTCTGATCTATTTGATCCACGCCTAAAGGAGGTAGTCCTGAAGATCGTCGACGTTGCACACCCCGGGGATGTTGGGTTCAATCAAGCGATCGAACTCGCCGCGGATGCCCTCTCCAGTGTTAAGCTTGTGCAGGAGAAGAAGCTTCTCCAGGGCTTCTTTGATCAGATTGCGCGCGACACCCAACAGTATTGCTTCGGTGTCAACGATACCATGCGTTGTCTGGAAGCGGGTGCTGTGGAGACGCTCATTTGCTACGAGAATCTTGAAATGAATCGCTTTGTGGTCACCAAGAACAAGGGATCAGACAACGAAGAGGTGGAGGTGCATCTGCTCACTCAAAAAGAAGCTAATGAGAAAAACATTCACGCTCACGAGGCGGGAAAGACGCAGAACGAAATCTCAAGCGAAGACTTTGTCGAATGGCTGACGCTGAACTACCAAAAGTTTGGATGTACCTTAGAGTTAATCAGTAACCGTAGTCAAGAAGGTACACAATTCGTTCGAGGTTTCGGTGGAATCGGTGCCGTGCTTCGGTATAAAATTGATGTAATGGCACTCCGAGATCATGAAAAAAAGGTAGAGGAAGAAAATGAAAAGACTGGTGTGAATGAAGACTTCGATTTCGATGACGATTTTATGTAAGAATCGTAAGCTGCAAAGTTTTTTTTTTCCAAAGTCTGAAGTATTTTTCTCCTGCTTACTCGTTTATTTCGTTAGGTCGCTATTAATACTAATAGTATTCCTCGGGCTTTTTCTCAATGGTGCTTCGAAAGCAAAGACGCGCAGAGCGCTGCCCAAAGTACATGTTTCGTTGTGAGTTCGGCACTCACTATTAGGGTGGATTTTGTTGTGTCCTAATTATGAAGTGTAGGGAATAAAATATCAGCTAAAGATGGAGATACTGATTGAATAAACATGAAAAGGTTATTTTATTGGTGGCGTTTAATAATAATGAACTAACCCCGCAATAGTAATTAAATATTGATAGGTTTTTATCTCTCGATTAGAGAGAAAACCGACATGATGACCTAATATGGTGTTTGTAATTAATAAGTGAAACTGCAAGGAAGCGGACTTGATGATGGCCGCTGTTAACTATATACTCTATGTCAAACACATTTTCTTCATAATACAGTGAAAGCCGTTGTGCCTATTAAGTATGCGTTCTTTATCCAGACGTTTAATTTCTTCGATTTAAACTTGAATTCTTTCCTTCAATAAAGATTCTTCTAGACTTATTTATTCACATTGGAACGCACAAAGAAAAAGGTATATTATTTAGGTACTTTCTATACTAGTTTCTTCTTCTTCATATATTTTTGGTTCCCCTTTGCCCTCCCCCCCCCCCCCCCCTCTCCCCTTGTACACACATTCAAAAAAAAACATACGCTTATTATCCTATCGAGATCGTATTAAAGCGATCATAGAAGTCCAAAAAACAGTATATACAAAAGGCAGAAGTATGTTGAGAAATTTAATTGGCTACAAGCACACCATATATGATGTATACCCGCTGCGCAACAAAAGGGTTTTCTTACTCGTGGATCCCCAGAACATCCTCGGCGATACCTCCGACTCCCATGCGACGTTCTCTACAATTGATTACCTATTGCAGAAGCAAGCCTCAGTCATTGTAGCATCCTCCTTTGGTCCTCTGTCCGGCATCACGATGAACCTAACCAAACGCGAGCTCAAAGTCGCATTGGATGCATTTAAGAATGAGAACGGGATGGGTTACACTAATTTCTTCGCTGGTTTGTCGCCTGATTTGAAGTTAAATATCATTCAGGCCGTCGTGGACTCCGAAGATATTGCGGCTGCAAAGTCTGATGGAACGACCCAGCTTCAGACTGGGAAGACGCAACTCTTCGCGGGGCTTCCTATTGATAAGAAAATTAAAGCGAAGGAAATGTTCTTCACCTCTAAAGAGTTCGTCCCGTCGTCCACAATGCCGTTCGTGAGCGTACTGAGAGCTCGGTTCCCCGATGTGAATGTGAATTTCTCACCGGATTGTTTGCGTTTGCCCCAGCAAAGTCTCCGGGCGGGTGAGGTTTTGGTGCTTGAGAACCTGCGCTTTTACATGAATGAGACCTCTCATAGTAGTACTGTGCGGGGTGCCATGGCAGAGGCGCTCGCCTCAAACGTGGAGATTTACGTCAACGACTCTTTTGCTACCGCCTATGCTCCACTCGCAAGCAACACAGAGCTGCCGCGTCTTTTGCGGCACGGCGCCGCAGGGATGTCTATGCACCGCGAGCTCTCTTTTTACGCTAAGTTCTTGAATCACCTCGCCTATCCAATCGCGGTGGTTGTTGCCGGGACTGACATCCCTCAGAAGCTGCAGCTCATTTACCGGCTTGTCGGCCGTGTCGACCGGATTTTGGTCGGTGGCGCCATCGCTCTCCCCTTTCTCGCCGCCAGGGGCCTAGGCTGCGGCCTGGACTACCCCCTGAAAGACGAGCCCACTGTCGGTGCACCGCTCGACGCGCAGCAGAGGGGGGCTGACCACGGTCGTAGAGAAGCCGAAACGACGCAAGTCCCCTGTTCCGAGTACGCAAAGAGGATCATGGAGCTCTGCGCCACCAAACATGTTGAGCTCGTTCTCCCGATTGACCACTTCGTCGCGGGCCACCCTGAGACGGACAAATGCAAGGCGGTGTTGGTGGAGTCAGCCGCCGTGCCGCCTGGTATGTGTGTGCTTGACTGTGGAATGAACACGGTTAACCTCTTCACGCGCAGCCTGCGAGCTTGTCGCACGGTACTTTGGACTGGAACCTTGGGGCGTACGTCGAAGGGGTATATCACGGGAACCGCCGCCTTTGCGACAGAGCTGCGGAAGTTGGAGATCATCTCCATCGTGGCCGGCGATGAGACATCGCAGGTGGTGTGCAGGATCGGCATAGCCGACAAAATGATGCACCTCTCGAGTGGCGGTGTGTCCTCGTTGTTGGTTGTGGAGGGGGACATCCTGCCCGGAGTTGAGGCACTTTCCGACATAGGTGCGACCGCGTCGGATCCAACAGCTCCCAGCAATGCCATCGCCCCTGTGAATGCGATGCTGTGCAAACTACCGCCCTTTGTGGGCTGCGACTCACATAATTTGCAGCTGATTGCTAAAAAATTTGTCCGTCGGACGCATGAGAGTGGCGATTACCTTGTATTTAGCGGAGATCGGCATGTGTGCATGTACCTAGTCGCCCAAGGCGGTCTTCTGGCACAATGGGATGACGAATACAGCTCGGCCCCGGCGCGATTTATTGGCAAAGGCCAAACTGTTGGCATGTATGAGTTTTTTACTCAGGCCCCGGCCTTCGAGATGGTGCGTGTGGCGCAGCCCGATACGGTAACTTATCAACTTTCATCCTCGACGCTCAACGAAATGCTGAACTCCCACCATGACCTCGCAGTGATGCTTTTGAAAAACATATCCGAACCGCTCTATCAGATCGTGAGCAACGATTACCACAAGCAGCAGAGCGTAGAGATGATGCTCCTACGTAATGCTTGTCGGACCCGCGTACCGCAGCTGTTGTGCGTCCCAGAAAGACCGAGCTTGAAGTGGGACGTCCTGCAGGACGTGCTGACTACCCTCTGCCTACATCGTCTCTCGTTGAAATATAAACCCTTTGTCGATACGGAACCTCATCGTTTGCTCTGTGAATCCGCCATGACGCTGTCGGACCCCCTTGCAATAGTTGTAAAGGGTATCCAGCGATATGGGTTACCTCTTGCTTTGGCGGGAGGAGTCCTTCGCGACTTACTCTACCACCAATTTGTGGGCTTGATGAAGCACCCCTGGATCGCTGCACTGCTTTCAGCGATATTGACTTCGCCACTGCGTGTTTTCTCTTATGGGTTTAAATATCGAGAGATAAATTTGAAAATGATGTTGCATGAGGCTCTAATAAGCGGAGCCGTGGCGGTTGCCCCCACGGCCGCGTATGCCCTAGCACTCGAGCTGCGGCGTCGCATCGAACGGTATCGCAAAAAGCAGCTCAACTACTCGTCGCAGCTGGCCCTTATGGCTCTCGTGAAGTTGCTGGTTGGCTTTGTGGTGTTTCCTATTGTTTATCTGCGCAATTTCATATACACACAGTCATCCACAAACCAATTTTGGGATAACACATCTTTTTTCGCGTATCAGCGGAAGCAGCTAGCCTCGTTGTTATTGAGATATATGCTTCGCAGCGCACTGAAGTGAGCCAGGGTCTGTTATTATTTCTTGCCTTTAGCCAGCACACTATCAATTTTTACTACTACTACTTTTGAATGTCAGGTTGCCGAGGCTCTTTTTTTACTGAAGATTGTGTTTTTTTTTCAAAATTTAGCCTATAAATGTTTGGTGTATTCCCGATTCAAATAAACGTGCTACTTTGCCCTTACGGTTCACAGACGGTTCCTACATTTGACAGGTTCTTGTAGTGTTGCTGAGATAAGGGTTCCGGTTAGCTTTGCTTATCTACCCCTCCAGACGGTCTTATGTTAAGAACTGAAGATATGCAACTATATGCATTCAGGAAGCGCTTTAAAAAGAAAACAGCATGTGGGCGTAGGATAGGCAAACAATTTGAAACTGAATGGCAATCCTACTGGGGGAAGCTGGCAAACGTTTGCCTTGATTTTGTGTAAGTGATGGTAACACGGTTTCCTCATGCCCGAGACTAACTAGGGGGCTATGCTGTAGCTTCTTCTGCGCCCCTGCGGCCCCAGCCGCCTTAATACAAAGCCTGCGCCAATAAGGGGAAAGTGTAGTAGTAAATGAAAACGCCGGTGGTTGTTCTTGTTGCCAAAAGGCGATTAACATTGTCTCCAAATGTGATAGGGGGAGACACTGTGCAGGTAGATGTTGTAAACAGCCTATCAAGCATACGTGAAAGTAGCGTAGAAAAGGTCTGATGCTGGTACATGCTCACTATACAAAAAGACAGAAGTGGGTCCTCTTCTCTCTCTATATATATACATATATATGTTTCTTTTTAGCAATGCAAAAGCTTTTTCACGGAAATTTTTTTAACGATTTTCTGTCGATTGTTTCTATTTATATCTCTTGTTACCTTTGTTCCCCTTTCATTACAAATATATCTGTGCTTACTTACTTTTCCTCCCTCTTTCCCGTTTTTCGCTGATGATTGCAGTTTCTCCGAGTGTTAAAATGTAATTTAAAGTCATCTCAAGGGAACCTGAATTACTTTTGCACAAAGTAGCAAAATACGAAAACCGCTATATTTCACCAAATTGGATACTTAAATTACGCTGTTACCAGTATTTATTACCTCTGATTTAGTATGCTCAGACATATTGATACGCTATGGGACGCCTTCTTTCCACAACAGCTATGCTATCCTCTTCAGCTCATTGGCGACGCAGATCATCCCATCACAACTCCGAAAGAGCTAGAAATGGAATTGCAGAAGCAATACAATATTTTCACGTACCGGTCTGATTTCGAGGGCATCTCCACAAACACAGGGTTTGTGGTTCACTCGGATCAAGGTTGGGGGTGTCTCCTACGGACATCACAGATGCTTTTGGCGCACTTCCTTCATCGGTATGGACGACCGAGTGACTTCAGTTTGCGCCTATTCGTAGATGAAAGCACAGATGCGGCACCCTTTTCTATCCACAATATGATCAAAAGCGTTTGGGATGACAAAACGTTTTGTGCGGAATATTGGAGCCCCTCGCAGGCCTGTGAGACAGTGCGAAAAACAATGGAGAACGCCGTCAAGGGGGGCGCGTTGGGCACTAAATTCTCAGTGGTATGCTCGAGCAACGGCTGTCTTTTTTCGGAGGATGTGGAGCAGCCGTTGAGAGGGGACACGGAGGTGGTGCTTCTGCTCACACCAGTACGCGTAAGCGCGGTGTCGCGGCTTACACAGGAAACCTATCTGGAGCTGGAGAACCTGATGTGCCAGCCCGAGTGCCTTGGCGTGGTCGGCGGGGTACCGGGCAGGAGCTACTACTTTTTCGGCCACAACCAGACGCAGATGGCCTATCTTGACCCCCACCAGCGCGTGCAGCCTGCCCTGACGTCGCTTTCCTCAGCCAGCACCGTCCCGACTCTGGCGGACGCGCGCAGCGTGCACTGGTCGCGTGTGGACACCTCACTTTTCCTGGCCTTCGCGGTGCGCGACGCCGCTGAGTGGAGCCATCTCAAGGGGAAGTTAAGCACCAAGTTCCTGCGCATTGAAGCCCCGAGGGGCACGGGTGTTTATCGGCCTCAATCCCATCACACGTACCGCACAGGAGGGCGTGCGTCGCCGCTGTGCGCTCCCGCACTACTTCTGGCCTCAAGCGCGAAGGCTCGAAGTCAACGAATACGTCCTTGCAGCTCGGGGACTGAAGAGCCTAATAACAGAAAACGACTGTCTGATTCGACGAATGGATATATAGTTTCCGATGCGCGAATCAACCTCACAGGTACTGTGCCAAAGACAGACAAAGAAGTTGATTTGGACGACACATGGGACAGATTAAGTGAGTTAGAGAAAAGCGTATAATCACCTGCATCGTATCCGTCTCCCCCATGTCCCCCTCAGCCCATGTGAGAGAGAGTAAAAGTAGTGTGTAAAGTGTTCTGTCTAATGCTTTGCGATTCATTCCACTTACCAATTGGGTGTTTATCGTTTACGTACCTCAAGCCATAACAATAGCGATGTTTGTGAAAAAGGTTAAATATCCACACCTGAATGAATGAAGATCGCTCCCTGTCTCCATTTACTCATCGTCTTTTGCACCACAGCTATAAAATTTTCATTTCCTACAAAGTCACCGAGCAATCATATTAATTTCAATACGTAAGATAAGTTTCTTTCAAACTACGGTTTGTAACCTATCTATCATATATTTTTAACCTCTCACGATCGATTTACGAAGAAAGGAAAATAATTTGGATCATTGGGACTAAACTGTTCTGACGAACAATGTGCACGAGAGGGTCGTATGTCGAAAACCAATTGCTCGTCAATGATACCGTGTTCTTGAAAACCATGCTATCCAATCTCAAAAAGTGTGAGGAACTTACCAATGCCACAATGAAATGCTACACGTCGCTTACGAAGACAGTTACAGACAATACGCAGTCTTTTATAAACGCTTCCACGCAATGTAACCAACGATCAAATTCAGTCCATTCTCTCAATAATGTGATACGCGACTTGAGTGGAAATGATGAATTTATGAAATATAACGCACAAGTTCACTCCGAAACCCTCAGATGTATCGAATTACTAATTAATGAGACGAAGGCTCTTCAGAAAGCCCTTGATAATCTCAAATCCAATCAGAAGGCTTACGAGTCGGCTCGCCAAAAAATTCATAAAAAAGAGGCCAAATATTCCAAGGCAAATAAATCGCTTACTGAGAGTTCCACGTATCGTAAAATAACTGAAAAACGTGACAGTCTGAAGAAACTGACACAAAGCAAACAAGAAGAATATAAAGCTAAGAAAGAAAATCTTGTAAAGCGTGTCTCGGAAACCCTGTCCGATGCCTACAACAACTATTTGGAATGCACCTCTAATTTCACTATGTTCCTTGGAAATATGATGAAAAAAAACATTCACGTGCGTCCCCCTAATCCATTCGAAGAGGCGCAACCAGCATATGCGTTGTGAGATCCTCCTCCTAATGCATGTATGCATATTCTTCTATGCAAATGCCATTGGAAGTAATGCATTTCACTACAATGTTATTTAGTATATATATATATATATGCACACTAAAATGTAGCCACAGGAGACTAGGAAAAAGAAGAAAAGTATGCCTACACAATGGTTCGGGGATAAAAGTAATTCGTGGTAGTTATCCACGCATTTCAACATTGTCGGTATTAATGTAGATTTTTATACATATATGGATATGAATATTGATATTTTTTGATATTATGCAAGTCTATGTTGAATGCAAATGTAATATGCAAGTTGAAAAGAAAAAAAACGGTGTGATGACATAATTCATCACCCCTCCCTGAAACGTGCACTGCAATGGGTTGTGTAGATTGGGTTGACAGTCTTACTCCACCCTAAGCATGTTTCAAGTGCTATCTTGTATTTTTTTTTTGCTATCTGAAAACAACGCCGCGTGCACTCCTCTAGAGCATTCACACGGATCAAAAGAAGATACCTGTCGTCGTTCATTTATTCCTCAAACATCATTGTCTTACGTCTTCATTTTTTCACAGGCAGGAGAAATACTCAATCACAATGTGATTATAAAATGCCGTGTTATTTTATGCATGTGATCTAAAAGGCAGACAAATTGAATACCTCAGGAAAGCTGAACCTCATGTACAGACAATTCAAATATCATGATTAATTCCTCCCTTCTTATATCATTTTGCTTTTCTTAGTTCACAGAATAGCTGCAAGCTTTATTGTGTGTTAAGTTCTGTGCGACCTCCCGCCAACGTGCTGGCAAGCATTGGAACCGATAACGTGGGTGTGAGCCATACACACATATACGATGCAATTAAGAAAAATGTAAGTATTTCCTTGTTTAATCTAATATTGATATGGAATCTTAAGAAAGAAAAAGGCATGGAGATAAAGTAAACCAAGTAATATGGAAAATCTATTGTCTATGCACACGATGGAAAAATGCTTGAAGATCCGTCCGCGAGGATTTCTCCACGTTCATTATCTCCTTGCCCTTCACAAGAAAAAAAACGCTAAAAGAGAGAAGGACTAATCCACTTCAAGCACACATGTCAAATAGAAAGAGGGATACATGGTAGCGGCAGGAGTGAAAGTATAAAAACTCATTTAGTCAACTCAGACCCATCGTCAATCCTGCCTCGATATTTGACGATGAGTAACGAAACAAATGTCAAGCATTTATAGCTCATAGCATTCCCCCTACAGGGTTAATTTTCTGTTGCAAAGAACATGAGGGGTGTAAAATATAAAAACAGGAGTCGAATTAGTGGTGATATATCCGACTGTTTTTGTTCCTATTACTAATTTACATGGCTGAAAATCCAACGTTTAACGAAATCTGAAACAAACATACTAAAACCACCTTCCATACACTACCGCTAATAATAATAATAATGAATGAATCGAAAACGAATGAGTGTGGTACGGGAAAACAGGCAAAGAAGCAGTCGTTTGAGTTGTTTGGCCGCTGGGCACATCCTGATCCTCGAAAAAGAAGAACGCATGAACAGAAACGAAGGCTCTAAGCATAACTGGAGTCAAAAAGAGTTAAATATATATGTATATATAAATATATATATATATATATATATATATATATTTATATATATATTACACACTTGCCAGAAAGCATGCAACCCCATTTAGGGAAACCTTTAAGGCATCAGATTCCGCGCTATGCGGTATGCTTATGGAAAGCAAAAATAACTGACGGTCCGGAGCAGCGTACAACGGGACCTGAACGTGACCCTTGAGCCTATCGCGCATCTGTCCCTCTGTCGTCCACCCAATGACGAGGTCACACGGAAGCATCACGGAGGATGCGGAGTTTGAGTTCACCGGCTGCAGTCGTATACTCTGGTCCATGAGTGCGCCTTGCAGATTAATTGAAGAGCCCTTTAGCTGGATACTAAAGGGAAGACTGCCAGTTACCCCAGCATTGGACGCCAAAGTGCCGAAGAGGGACAAATCTGCCAAGGGAATTCTACATTTGGAAGCTGTGTATTGACGCAGCGCGTTCAAAAAGGCCTGTGGTCGTGGCAAATCTGCCAAATTGTATGGCATCCCCATGGACAGCGAGCCTTTCTGGAGGGTTTGTACACTACGATACCTTCGCAGGACAACGTCAAGCCAAAGTTTGACGTCCCTAGGCCCACCCATGCGGTCCAACCACCTGCTTGGCATTCGGCAGCTGCCGATCTCCAAGATCTCCTCCTGCTGAGTGTCTGGGAGAGACAGTGTTCCCTCAACCATGGCGTGTAAGTCCTTGAAGTAGGAGCCCAGGTCAACTATCAATCGCTTCAGTAGACTTAACTCGCTCGCAAAAAAAACATCCATGGGGTTTAGGTCCTGACTCTGTGCATCGATGTCACCAACGACTAACTTGCTTTGCGCCCCTTTGCTAAGCTCACTGGTCTCCCATAATTCCAGCACGGGTGTGATCAGAAGTTTCAGACGGCTGAGCGAAAGCTTGCGGCTTTCAGCGTTGGTGGCGACGTCGCTGAGGAAAACCAGCTGATTGAGCATTTGAAGTTGCTCAATATACACAAGGGCCTTGTTCTCTTCCACAACACGATCCGCGTTGTCGGGAAGCTTCAGAAGCGCCGGCTGATCAACATTCGGCAGTTTGCGGGCCAGCAGCGAGACGACTGCATCGTGGTTATTCGTGTTCGGCACTGTCATGTCTTCATACAGAGAAGACTTACATTGCACAACAACTTCATTCGAAAAAAGTAGCTGGATGAGTTGGTGCAGAACTTCAATGTCGTGCGGGTTGTCGAGACGGCCGCCGTAGACGCAATCCATGAGAAACCCCTTGAGGCTTTCCCAGTTCGTCTCTCGTTGGATGTCAAGCTGAAGAAGAATATCCGTGGCGGCCTTGAGATCGGCCGTGGAAAACTCGTAGTACGAGGTCCAGCCTTGCGGCACGAAGGTCCGACGCTCCTGCACTACAGCATGCAGCCAGGCGAGCGCAAAAAATACCTGTGCCTTGGGCGTTGACTGCTCCTCCAGGAAGACTCGATCCCATATTTGGTAAGTGCGCAGGAGGTTTTGCTTCACACCAGGCGGCGCCTCGATCGTGATTTTCAGAGACATCTGCAACAGTACAGACGGGAAGGCGTCGTGCGGTTCTGTCGTAATTATGAGGCGAAAGTCCTTGTGTGGTTCCGGCATCGCACAAAGCTCGTTCTCCAGCGTGGGAACCCAATCTAATACGAGGTGTAGATTTTTAAGAAAAATCCACCCACCTTGTGCGGCGCTGGACCTTAGCTGTTGCATGGCCTCCTCGGTCACTCCACCACCCAGGGCTATCTGTGTGAATCGTTCCCTGCCCATGCGGCGAATGGCGATGCTCTGGACCTCCAGGCTCGGGTCCGCACCACTGGAAGTCACCAATAGCACGGGAACACGCGCAGAGGAGCTGCAGAGGATGGTCTCCTCCATCGACGTCGGGGGCACCAGCGAGCTGACACACAACTCCTTCATGATAACACGCATCCCCAGCGCTGAGAAACGATCCGGACGGAAGGTGCTGATCAGGAGGAGTTTCTCAACCACACTCAGCACCTTCTCTGACGGTTGTTCGATCTCATTGAAGAGCTCAGGCTGTACTGATGCCATCCAACGAGACCACCCCGCCCCGTCATGGAGGTGCCACTTGGAGACAAGTTCGTGCCCGACGCTGCTGGAGAGCAGTGCGCTGAACCGTGGTTTTGCCGCCGACGAGGCCCATTTCGGTAGCGACAGCGACTCCTCCCGGACAACCTTCGGCGCGGAGCCAACAAGGGCCTCCCATTGCTTTGCCGGGAACTGCTCGGGTAGGAGAACCTGCAAAAGCTGCAGGCCAAACACCAGCCGGTCCTTCTTGAGGAGTCCAGTGCAAACCCGATAAAACACGCACCGTGCCAGGCTATGCACGAGCGTGGAGGTCCGTATCGGCGTGTTCGTCTCCTCCACGCCCATGTCCCCCTTCATGCGGTCCTTTTGCAAAGTTTCACTGAACAGCCCGAGGAAGTCGTTAAGACCGAATTGATACATCCGGCTAAGCCTCTCCAGGCGCTTAAGCAGAAAGAAGATCTGAGAGCCTTTGCTGGCGAAGGAGCGATATATCTCGCGCTTATCATCCAGCTCCGCCTGGAGCGCGCACGATTCGGACAGTGCCTGTTGAATCACGGAGGCCTGAGCTTTGACCGTGTTTAGTGAAGTCACCAACTGTGTGTTCTCCATAAAGTTCCCCTGGGAATCCGTAAGCTCCCGCAGTAGCTGCGATTCAAGCTTTATGAGCTCCATCTTGAGTCCCTCTTCTTTCTTCAGCAACTCTACTTTCTGTGCCTCCAACTCTGGGCGCTCATTCTGGAGCGTGATGCTAAGCAGCTGACTCTCTAAGCTCCGTGTGGTCACGGAAAAGTTCACCTCCATCACTAGAGCGGCGGCACAGGGCGGCAGATGCAGGTCTGTGCTTCGGCTGAAGAGTATAATGCGGAAAGAGTCTTGCCAGTCCACCGCCTTGTTACCGACCCTCACAATACGCTTCGCACCGCACGAGGCTAAATCCCGTCGAAGAATAGGATACAAAATTGGCACCACCGTGTTGACCTCTGTCACCAAGAGAGTTTTCCCAAAGCGAATGGCCAGCTCCAGTGTGTGAGTGAAGCGTTTATCGTGCATTGAAGCAACCTCAACAATGACGTTGCTCCGTCTTAGGTGCGTTTTCATCCACTCAAGTGCCGCGTTCGCGGGATCGATGACGAGCGGGGTTTGAGTCGCCTCGAGTATCGCAACCGCGTTCTCGAGGCTCAACTCGTCATCAGGAAGGCCCTCGGACTTGTATTGCAGGATCTCGCTCTCGGTTCGCAAAAAATCGATGCAACGAACATCGACAGCAGCCGTTTCACCCTCCTCGTTGCTGCTCATCAACCCAAGGCGCTCGGCCCATTGCCTGAGGTAACGCTGACGAACCTCCTCGATGGTATGTGGAATATAAGTCATAAAGGCAGCACTGATGAGTGCACGTTTGGGCATCGACTCCGTAGCCATACGAAGTGAAGCAATGTCCTGCGCCCATCGCGTTTTTTCATCGCTCAGCTTTTCCAGGAGCTCCTCTGCCCTTTCCAACTCCCCCTCGGCTGTCTTGAGTTTTTCACGCAAGCGCTCCGCCTCCTTGCACTTTTTGGAAAAGTTCTCGCGGAGTTGGCCCACACACTTGTCAATCTTCTTCAGTTTCTCCTCAAGATGCTGGAGCTTTTGCTCTCCCTCGCGTTGGTTCTGTTCAAGCACCTCAATTTGACGCGTCAGCGGCGAAATTTGGTCCATGATTTTGGAGTACTCAACCATCGCTCTCACCCAGTCCGCCATTGGGGCCGCCGCCAGGGAGGCACGGTGAATTACCTCCGGTTTGAAAGACGTGGCCTTTTGCTTAAGAAGGGATGACACATTTGCACGAATCTGAGGTGTCACATTCTTTATATCAAAGTCAACAATTCGCTCCTTGACGCCGCGCTCCGCTAGGAAATTCCGCATGGATTGCCACGACACGTCGCTAACACCGAGCAGTGCCAAGACTCCCTCGAGCACATCGCGAATCGGCTCCGGTGGTGCTTTGAGGGAACGCATCTCATTTAGTTGCTCAGTGCGAATAGAACTCACGGCGTCACGAGCAGCCTCCATGAGTGGCTTGATGTTCCCAAGCTTTTCCTCGGATTTCTTTCGATTAAACTCGATACTTTTTTGCTCTTCGCTAAGCTTCTCTCGCAGTTCACTTGCCTGGTCGCGCTGTTCCTGTGAGCTCTGAATATTTTTCTGGATTTGGTTCAAAGCTTCGTCGGCTTCCTTTTGCATCGCTTCTACAGCAGACTTCTTCGCCGATACATCCCTTTTGATACCCGCAACCTTATCCTCTGCATCTCGAAGCTTCACTAGTCCGGCTTCCAGACGAATGATGTTATCATGACTGGACTTCCTCCTGCTTAACATGATCTTGGTGTAGGTTTTCATGAACACTTCAAAGTCCTTCGGGGTTGCGTTAGGTACGCTCTCGTGAATGGAAAGCATTTCGCGATGTAGGCAAAACCCTTTCTGAGCCGGATCCTCGTCAAGTAGGGCAATTTGATCCTTCATTTGGGTCTTGCACATGGTTTTGGTGATGTCCGCGGACCAAGTGCCCATCCAAAGTAACTCGCATGCACGAATAAAGTCCGGGTTAGATTGCAAACGGAGCAAAAACAACTCATGGCAGGGATCCAATATAAATGCCACATGCAGGTTGCGCTGTAAACGATCAACAAAGTACGACGCGATAGGGCCGATATAGCCGTCGCTTGCCGCATCCTCACGCAACGACGTATACATAATTTCCATCTCCTCCGTCGTAAACAGACCAGGTACCTCACCTGAGCTGACTAAGCTGTTTAGCAATTCCAAGAAGAACTCGTCAATAATCTGGTGCTCTTCAACAATGAGTGTCATGCGGGTATTCTGCACGACGGTATTCTGAATGAAGGCCCTCATATCAGCACGGAAGTTTTTGATGGTGTAGTCTTGTGTGATATGAAACGTAACAACCTCCATCTGCTGCAGGTACGAGGCCAACACAATCGTATCACGGCGACCAACGCCCGGCCGTCCGACAACAATGAGATGCCCTGCCGTACGCGATAGCACACGATCGACGCAGGCGATCCAATACACAACAGGTGGGATCACCGTCATCATGAGATCCTTAAACTCGCGTCCGTAGCGCAACAGCGCAGCGGAAACCTCACCCGCAATATCCTTATAGCTGTATCGCTCCAGAAGCCGATTCATACGTGAAAGGCTCTGCTGCTTGAGGGCGATGCCTTCACCGTCGATTTCGGGCTCACCAGCCTCAGGAGCCACAGCGGCCCTTTGACTGAACCACGTAACGTACATAAACGCGAAGCTGTCTTCTTTGGCAGGCGTCGAGTACCCAATCATGGCAAGCCGCTCGGAAAGAATCCGGTCCGCCGTCATGCGGTCCTCTAGAGAGGGAAGAGGATCTATAAAAATGCGTCTTGCCTCGTAGGCAATTACAGCAGGAAGAGTTGTGCTGCTGTCGATTTTGTACATGAGGACGTTGGCAACCCAGCGAGTGAGGTGGCGTGGGCTGAAGCGAATGTGTGCATAGTCCTTTCCCTCCGCCCAGGAGCATATTCTCTCGTAGATATTGGTAACAAGCTGCGCAAGGTCGTAGCCATCGTTGTAGTCGCTGCCCTGCCCGATGTTTGTGGCGCGCAGGCATACCGACCAATAGCTACCGTAAATCTGAAGCAAACTTTTCTTGGAGGGATAGCCGATGGATACGATGTTGACCATGGCTAACAGACGTGGCGTTACAGTATAGCCGCTGAACGCCCTGTTGGAACTCATCGTCGCCACCAACTGAAGCTGCCTCGTTCCGATCCATTCCAACTCGTTGCTATAAAATCCGTCGTTTGAAATGAGTTGCTGCAGGAAAGCATGCAGTTCCACCGTGCCGTACTTATCGGGCTTCGGCAGGTCGATGTTTTTCAATATAATCACAAGGCGCTCGCCATCCTTCGGTTGCAGGACGCGACCTTTCACCGTGCCGTGCATGCTGCAAAGCTGCTCTAACTTTTGGATAAGCACGGCAGAGGTCGTTTGCGCACTGCAATTAATAGTCATGGTGCGGATGCCCGTGTAGGACCGCAAACAGTGTTTCAGGATGCAGCCTTTACCACAGCCCTCGGGCCCCACCAGGAAGATCGGCTTACATGCCTGACCTCGTAAGAGAGGGTTCAAAATGGTTTGTGCACGATGCATTTCGATTGTCTGCACAACGAGCCCATCACCAGAAATCAAACATTCCAGTGCAGAACTGGGCGAAAGAGCGCTGTTGTTGAAGCTGAGATCTGCATGGAATTCCATACTAGTTCCGCTTGTACTATCCCAATAGGTATCTAGTGGCCTCGAGGTCGACAGTGGCTTCTGCCCGCTTTCTGCATACAACCAGTTCGCCAGTTGCACCGCGCCGGACGCGTTCATGGCGCTACAGAGTGCACGAATCATGGAGTAAATAAAGTCAGCCTCATTTTGTGCGTCGAGGACGTGATTTAACACTGCGTTGAGAAGTCCAACGGGGGTTGTCGGCACGATGAGATCATCCAGTCGCATCACCTCCTCAATAGCCCTTGTGGCGTACTTATTAAGCAGTGGCAAAAGCCGCTGCCGCGTATTCCCTGGTTGTTTTGATATTGCCGACTTCAAAAATCCCCCGAGATCAATATCCTTCTCCGAGAAGAAGAGCACTCCCATTCGCGAAACTGTCGCCGGCGAGGCGCACTTCAGGCTGTCTGTCTCGAACAAAAAGTTCACATTTGTACCAAAGTGCACGCGAACACCGTTCGGCATGGTGAGCAGGCGGTTATCATCCAAGACGGAGTTGAGGGATTCAATCCAGAGCGGGTCGATGTCGCCGTCGCACACCACCCACGCGCGAACCTCCTTCGGCTGCTTCGCCACATCCCTCGCGGCGACAGTGAGCACGCCGTCGTACCACTCCCGCGTATCCGCGTCCATGTAGCCGAGCAGTTGGCGCCTGGCCATCGCCTTGGGGTTTATGTGGTGCACGAGGACCGGGATATCCATCTTTTCCATTGTCTTGGTCAGAATACGCAGAACCGTACTTTTGCCGGTGCCGCTGGAGCCAACGAGCACCACCCCCATACGCTGATTCATGGCCTCATACAGCTGAAGAGCCTTGATGGCCTGTGAGGCATTGGGCTGCAGTCCGAGAGCGGCAGTCGCCGCTAAAATGGCTTTCTCAAGCTCCATATGGGTAGCCTCCCGTGAGGTGACGCCCGTAAAGACATCCTTCATTAGTCTATTAAAGAGGCCGGTATCTTGTAAGGTCAGCTTGCTGAGGGTGTTGATATTGATGGACTGTACTATAAGTTCTAGCTCCTCAGCTTCTGTGGGGATCTGTTGCGGTCTCTCCTTCCGCCAACGCTGCATCAAAGTCCCGCCGTACTGCAGAACCGCCTTGAGTGGGCGCAGGCCCCAATCGTAATGCTGCTGCCATGAAAGCAACTGCCCGCACAGCTTGTAGAGCTCCACGACATTCTTAGCGATCAACTGGGCCTGCTTAAACCCATCTGAAAGTAATATGGTGCTGGCGATCAGCCTACTGTCCGGAACACTCATCGCAACTTCTCTAAAAAGTTGCTTCAGGTTATCTGGGAGCTTCGTGCGGCCGCCGTAGCCTTTGCCGGCGGGGTTTAGCGTCACGAAAATCCCAACATGGGGGTTGACTTCCACGTGCCGACCCGATAGCAAGCAAGTCGGTTCCTTGTTCTTCAGCGTCTCTTGGATGCCCTGAATCATTTGCGAAATGGCAGAGAGTTGGTCAATCTTTAGACGGTTGAATTCATCAAAGCAACCCCAAGCCCCACACTTGACAATGCCCACCAATATACGGCCCATCGCCTTACAATCGATGCCCTCATCACAGTTAAACACTAACACTTGCCTTCCCATGGCGCTACCAAGCGCCTTTACGGACTCTGTCTTGCCTGTACCCGCAGGTCCGTAGGGATTTCCGCCGTAGCCAAGGTTCATGCCTTTTGTCAAAACTAAATAGCACTTGTCGGTGAGGGGGGTGTGCACCAGCTTCGGTGCATTTCCTTGGTACTCAAATGTGTATTCAAAAGTGGTGTCAGCCATATGGACCCAACACTGCTGTTTGGTGTTCATGCTGTAACGGAGCTGTTTTTGCCAGTGCCAGCTATTTGCTTTTCGAACGTTCTTTGCTATAAGCTGCTCCAGAATTTGCAAATTCTTAATAGCATCAAGAATAAGAGCCTTGATTTTCAGTTGTGCAACGCCCCTAGACTCGCTGTCGCCACCGCTACCAACCTCTACAGACATAACGATAAGACGTTCGAGTTCTTCGTGTTGCCACGCTTCGAGTTTCTTCAGGGTATCTGCCTCAATAGCCCTTTCAACAACTCGGGCAAAGTGAATTTGTTGTGCCACTTGCAAGACCTGAGAAGGGAATCGCTGGATGACCTCGAGAATTGCCAAGTTCGCTCCTTCCTCGACACAGCGGACGAGCTGCTCATGCAGTGTTCGTTTCATCATCTCATCTAGCCCAACCAGCCAATCCTCAGCGTCAGTGCTATCTGCGATAGAGACTGGTTGCTGTAATTCGACCCTTTCACCATCTGCGGAGAGCATGTGTGTTATCGCTGTCTTATCCATGTTGAACTCGACAAGATTGATGCCCATAAAGAGCTTCTTCAGGTGAGCTTGGATTACAAAAGGGTTGTGACTGTCACCCAAAATTTCTAGCAGGTCTTCGTCGCTGATAAAGTAAAAGCGCGGTATTTTATCCCGCTTTGCTTCAAGATATTCCATAAGGGACTTCTGGCAGCGCTCGATTTGCTCAAGAATGATCTTGAGCCTGTCATTCAGATCGGTCTGAGTGGCAACGTTCATGATCCGTGGATCTGCCTCCACGTCTCGTAGAATCGCTACGAACTCCTTGTCTACACGCTTAAAGCGCGATTGCTCTTGCGGGAGGGCCCCACGGGCGAAAATAGGCTCCAGATACGCCCATTTACGCTGAATTTTGTTCAGTAGCGCAAGAGAGTCTGACAGAGAGGAAAGCTTCGACTCCCAAGCGTTTACGTTGTCGGCAAAATGAGAAAAGAATGGGCTGTCCTTCAGGGAGCTTACAAGCGCCTGGTTATCGCTCACCTCCATCATCACTTCTTTCCATTCAGTGATGAGCTTCACTTTGGTGCATAAATTCGTGGGCATGATGAGTTTGAAAGTTGCCTCTAGAGCCCAGGTCTGTAAGTCTTGCAGGGCCTCTCGCAACTGAATCTCGCCGAGCGCGCGCGCATGGAGCTGCTTGAGTTCGCTTTCCTTCTCAAGTATCACTTTATATCGACTCAAAAGGTCACCGAAGGTCAAACTTGTGCTCGTGATGTTCCTCGGAATATCCAATAAACGGAACATCTGATTCCAGTGTTCAGCCATCCATCCATCTCCCCTAGCAACCTTCAGCAATGGAATCAAGGACTTCCAATCCGCTAGAAGTGCCTGTAGGTACTCAGCGATGGTGTTGTCGTCGTTTGCATTTCCACGGAGGTGAGCATCTATCGTCTTATTCCACTCGGTGCAGAAATCATCAAAGTGGTAAGTATTCGAGCGGAACGTTAGCCAATCTTCAGACCGCAAGCAATCGAGTTTTGCCTCAAACTGGTCGTACAGCGACCACGCTGTTGAAGTGCGGTTGACATCCTTTTCGCTCTGAGCTAGCTGCGTGAAGTTAGGTTGAGGTAAGTTGAAATACTCACACTTAGCCTTCAGTTCCGCAGCCTGCACCTTCAAGTCCTCAAAGTCCTTGATTTGGTCCTTGAAATCGCCGATGAGCTTCCCGATGCTGTCCATCTTGCGCTCCTTGAAGGCCCGTAGCAATGCAGTCTTCTGGCGCCCCCAGTTTACGGAAAAGCGCTGGACGCTTTTGAGGAACCTCTGTATTAATGCATCCAACGAGACCCGCATCTTCAGCACTGAGCTTTCTATAACCTTCGTGTGTGATACCATCGCCTCGCGCAGGTGCTCCCAGCGAGTTTTGGTGGCACTAAAGTCTATCGACGCACCCGAGTACTGCCTTAACACCTTATTTTCTTCTTCTGTCTCCCTTAACATGGCCTCGAAACCAGGAAGCTGGGCCAAATACTCACGGTATGCCTTATTCGCCTGACCAACTTCATCCATGGTGGTGGGCTGCCGCTCAATTACATTCGAAGCGCTAAATACAAACTCATCTATACCCTTCAACGAGGTTTGAATGCCCTTACGTAAAAAGTTCAGCAAAGACTCCTCAAGGCGATGGAGCTGCCCGTCAATGCTAACCTTGACAGGAATCGTACTGATGGTAAAGCAATCCACCTTCATGGTGCTGTCAACCTTAGCGAGCTTAGCCCTGTACTCCTTTAGGGCTTGAATACCTTCAAGGAAGCTGCTGCGCCGAGTCGATTCCCCTGTGCAAGTGGGATCACCGCCGCCGTCTGGGTTGTGCCGCTTTACGCACCACTGCTCCACAACGGTATCCAAGTCCGGCGCCCCGTTCATTCCACAGAGACCGAGCACCACATAAACGCGGAATGCCCTTCGAATGCGGTTAAGTCGTGTGAATACCTCCATGGCCTTGACGTGCACCGTGACGATTTGAGAGTAGTTTTGGATGGGTATCGCGGGGTAGATTTCATAACGGTCTCCCCTTCCTTCACGCTTCTGCTGTAGGCCACGAAATCGCAATGGCACGCCTACAAACTCACGAAGCTTGATGTAGTAAGCCTCACGAATAGCCTCAAAACTGGGCTTGAATTGAACTAAGCCCTGCTTAAAGACTAACTCAACCTTAAATTCATCCATCGCCTCGTGTAGCTTCTCCAACCCGAGACGGTATTGGAACTCCAAGGATTTGTAAATTTGACAATCCCAGTGCCGGCGCCATGCATCGTAATTCTTGTAGTAGTGCTGTGAGAGGAACTCGTCAAAGCTGGCACGCATCCCATCCACGGCGCTTCGCCATTGGCTCATATGTGTAATCAGATCCACGTTTTGCAGTGCCATGACCTGGCTCATGAACTTACTATGGAAACAACGAATATGGCAGTTATCCTTGCTTAGGTTTTCCGTGGAATTCTGGAAGCTCAGGGAAAGACCCTCAAGCTCGTGATGGTTGACAAAGGGGATCAAGCGCCGTTGGCTGTCAGCAAAAAGAACGTGCGACAGAGTGCGCTGAATGAAAGGCCGCAGTATTGCACGTGTGGAAGGAATCATCTGTTGGAGAACGGTATTGAAATTGGCGGCAGACTGCTGCATTTGCATAGCCGCAATGTTGAGCTGCACGGCGGCCTGGATAATGTTGCACGTCCCATCCGAGAGCTTCATCGGGGTGGGAAGCGCGGTAGTCGTGGGGGAGCTGGCTCTGACCGCGTAAAACTGAAAGGTTGCGGCCTCGAACAGAAGCTGACGCACAAGGGGATGCACCAAGCAGCGGAGATAGTACCGGTTCTGGGCTGTAAAGCCTTCATCAGGTGCATCTGACGCGCCGTACGCCATTTCGATCGTGACCGCGTCGTCGATCTTGACGATCTTCTCAGTCATTACCTCTAGCTCGTCGCGCCAGTGTGCGATGGCTGCCTTTTCCTCATCCCTTATCGCAACCATGGCGGCGCGGCAGAGTTCTATGATAGTCTGCTGATGAGAAGCGGTGCCGACGCCACAATTGAACAGTTCATAGGCTTGATCAGCCACACGACAGCATTCTGTCTCGAAATTGCGAATCACGCGGAGCTTCTGGAGGTCTGTGGTGGCCCGACTTAAGTCATCATTCCAGCGAGACTGAACTCTGCCAATGTGCTGCGTAAAACGTTGTGCAACTTCACTTATACTCTTTTCAAAAGATTTGTAGATAAAGCTCCGGCGCAGCAATGCGTCGAATTGAGCCAACCACCGAACCTGATTGCCAATGCCTGTAGAGGTAGATTGAGAGGGAAAAAGTGTTCGGATTTTATTGCAGAGCTTCGGCTCGATAAATCCCATTTCCCTGTCGTACGAAGCCACACAAGCGTCCCATTGAGTGTCGTCCTGTCTCAAGTCCATAAGGTCCACGTTTTCAAATAGCGTCTGGGGCAGCACGCAATCCGGAAGGCCCTTGGAATCCCAAACCTGTGCTGCTTGCTCCAACTCTTCGCGAATTCGAACGGCCTGCACGAGGCGGCGCAGAAGTTTGTTGAGGCTCTCATCATGAAAGAATCCACCGTCCCAGTTATCCCAATCCTTCTTCAACAACCTTTCAACCATCCGCTTCCATTCCTTACACAATTCGAGCGCTGCACGAAGATCAGTACGATCTATCAGCCACGGTCCACGCCAATCAGCCGCGCTCAGCGAAATTTGTGTTTTTAAGTACTCACGTAAATCGGCAGAAGCGATGGAAAGGAGAGTAAGCGCGTTGATCTTTGTTCGCTCCGTCCGGTGCGATGGCGGCTGCGCACACCAATAGTTCTTCACCGCTATGTACACCTGTTGGATGACCTCGTGGCCCTCTAAGAGGCCGAAGGTCTTGGACCGCCACAGGGCGGGCAGCTCACTTTCGATGCCCGCACTGTGCGCGGACAGTGCAAGCGCCTGCGCAAAAGCAGAGGTATCAATCCATATCATGCCAACCAACCCAGACGGAAGCGTTACCATGCTAAGAGTGTCTTTTAAAATCGAGTTGTCCATATAAATTTCGCTTTCATTGGCAACGTTTTGGTTGCTGACCAGATCTGTGTGGTTGGTATCAACCAATCGGTTTTGCCCGGTAAGATCACTCTCTCCGACACCGCTTAGCGAAGCTAGGTCGTGTGTGGTCGCTGAAAAGGCCCTAATACAGACCATCTTTTTTAGCAACACGTCGAAGCGGGAACCAGTCGGGCAGAGAAAGGGCGGAAAATCCCTCACCGCATGCACACCCTGAGGAATATCCCCCACTATGTCCTGATATAAAACGTCCAACATCCTGCAGATCGCCGAAGAGGCTGAAGTGGTGTCGGTTAAATCATCGAGAATGCAGGGCTGCTCAGAGACATCACCTGACATGCTCAAAAAATTGACAAACGGGGTGGAAGCGTCAGCGATGCTAGAAAAGTTGGAATCCTTCGTCTCGCCAGAGAGGCGGATGGTAGTGCTTCCACCGGTTTCATCCCGCACCAGCGAGCAACATAACTGCTGCACTTCGTACTGGAGCTGATTTGGATCGTCGAGTGCTGGAAAGAAGAACTGAACCCACCCGTCTCCCCGTCGGCTCTGCACTTTTTTGAAGCGAAGCTGAAGATGGCGTTGAGCGATACTGATAAGCTGAGCCTCTACAGCAATCAGCCCCATCGGTAAAGTCTTCGCCACTGAATCCGGTCCGCTGCCCATCCGCTACAGTGCTAAGACAAAAATATGATAGATGAGCAGTTCTGCTTACGATAGTATTTTTCTTTTGTGTGTTTTCTAATTTGCTTTTAACTTTCTCAAAATTCGTAAGTAGGCATTGGAAATGATATACCGTGTTAGCTTCATTTCATTTATTTTTTAAAGAGATAAGTCGACTCTGGGAAAATAAAATGAACCTCGCGTCCCGACATTGATCCTATGCATATTTTATTTTATTTTTGAGAGGGGTATGCAAATGTACCATCATCCTTGTGGTGGCTCCCTTAACAAGATTAGAGAATACAATATCTTACTCTAAAACAAAAAGGGAAGTTGTCTTCAACAACAAAAACATGGAAGAAGCATGTGAAAAGCTCGATTTGGAAAACAAGTTTTGTGTGGTTGTGCCTACATGTTTGGACTATTCTATGGTTAGACATTCCACCTATTCAGGAGGACCACCTTCCTTTGTTTTAGCAATCTATTCCCCCATACAGGCGTTCATTTTCTTACTTCTCTCTTTTCTCTCCTACCCTTTACTGCTTGTTAGAAGACGTTGAACTCGCACGGAAGAGCTCGACAAGTTTGTTACTCTGTCCGCTTTGCTGAAGCCATTCTAAAAACAGACTATGAATTTTATTTCGCAGACTCTCTGCCAAGTCTTGCCTACCTTGCTCTTCTAGCTGTGTATATGCCTCCTGCAAGTCGTTTGAAACGTCTTGAAAACATTGTAGGCGATGGGTTAACGCGTTGAGGTAAGGTTCGGGTAGTGCGCACGGGTTCGTACGAGTCGTCATGGTTGTCATGCTGACTTGCGTAGCAGTTGGAAAACAAACAGGTGTGAACTTTTCGGGAGGCAAAAGGTACTGCCGCGATGGCAGTCCCACGTTCCACAAGTTTAGAAGGGGGTTTATGCCTGACGCCGCCAGATCTCTCTCCAGAGTCGCATAATGTGAGTTGTATGGCGCGAAGCGCACATTTTGAAGCGAGCTTGCATTGCTGTTCTCTACTACCAGCAAGGGTGGGGTATTCGTACACACAAAGAAGTTCACATCCACACAATTACTGACGATAATAGCACCACAAAGAGCTGAAATGTTACAGGTTTGACAGTGATCCACGCATAAAACGCTGTTTACGGGACCTAGCACGACCGTGCAGTTGGTTAGGTTTGAAAGACGTGTAGCCGGAAGTGCTGAGGCAATGTAAATAGAACACTGCACGCAGTCCTTGATGACATAAGTGGACGAGAGCATTTGCAAAACCCGGTCTGGAACAGTGCTGGGGCATAAGACCTGGTCACTAATATTCTGTATCGTCATATTGTTGCTGAAAGGTTCCAGCTGAGAGCTTTCGGGGCTGACTTTGATCGCGCTCGGATAAGTTAGACGCGGGCGGATGTACTGCGAAAGTATCGCGATATCTATCGACTTTTCACTCCGTGGCCACAAAAAGCCTAAGCTCGTTCCAAAAGGCTGCTCAACGTTCTCTACAAACTCACGTAACAGATATCTAAGCTCCAGGGCGTCAGCAATCGTCACTCGTCTCGAGCGGGTGGCCGCCACGGCTATGATATAATCCTGAAGGTACTGTCGAACATGATTATAGACCACCTCATGCGAGATCCCTCCAAGGGGTTGACGAGGCGGCCGTTCGAGCAGGAGCTGCGTTAATAAAAACAACATCAACCCGGGCAGGCTCACCATTCTCGAGGTTGAGATCAACGGCCACCGCGACTCGTCGACGCTGCCTCCCATTTTAAGTAACTGTGCCTGATTGTTTTCTTGGCGATATTCCGAGATGGTTTTCACTTCGGTATGACTCCCGTAATAAGACGGGCTGCCCTGCAGACAGCCACCGCTGATAGAGAAGAAAACATCAAAAATGCTGTACGCCGTTAGTTCCGGTAATCCCAGGACATTAACCGCAATATCTTTCCAATTCGCTAATGAAATAGAAGTGACGTTGCCGCACTCGGGACGGAGTTTCATAATGGAGGCGGTTGTGAGACCGCTAGGGGGGTTCAACAGCAACCCGCAGTGCTCAAAAAGAAGTGGGTTAAAACAGAAAACGATTTGATTCGAGCTGTCCGTACTTGCAGCGCGATTTCCCAACGGCGCGGTTGAATTGGTAGCAGCGGCGCCTCTCTTTAGCATGTGAGTGGGCAAGAAAAGAAACTCTTGTATTGGTTTATTTCACGTACAATTCTTGAGAGAGAGAGAGATAACAGAAATATCTGCACTAAAACGGTAGGAAATCGGGTTAGAAATGCTAAAGACAATAACTTGTTCTTTAGAAATTGTAAAAGTGCTTATTGTTATTACCCTTCTTCCCCTATTTTACTTTTGGATAAACTAATCCTGTGTCTATAATTTATAGAGAACGATAATAAAATAGGTACTACTCTGCAATATAGAACTCTTTGCACGCCCTCCAAAAAAAAAGTTCTTCTGTTTCCAAAACAAAAAGAGGTAATAAACACCTCATTCTCAACAAATAACACATGAAGCCAGAAGTAATTGAATGAAAAGAAGAATATAGCAAAAACTGCAAGACGCGTTGTCTCATTATCAAAAAATGTAATGCCATTTACCAGTTTACTGAGGTATACTTGTACCGATTGTTGTATTAAAAAAGATAACTAAGAGTAATATTTATATCAAAGACATCTATGTCTGTTGACACGATAAAATTTTTATATAGAATAAGATATCAATACCTTTAGAAAAGCATACCCTTCGCTACGCACCCTGCCTCTATGGTTTCAAACAATGCCTCCTAACAGTGTGCTATGAATATATCGTTTTCCGAGCGGTTTAATACAACAAAGGCACTACACAATTGACTGTAGCCTATCATAAACAAAAGAAATATATACTAAAATATGTATATGGGTAAGCAGTAGAGATCCCTCCTACCCACACATTCGATTATTTCCTTGGACATAGACATTAATAGTTTCCTTTAGATGGGATCATGCAACAAATACTGACTAAAATGAGCAAATTGCTGTGAAATTATCAACCTAAACATATATAATATACGACAAGACATAATATATACGAAAACGTTGAAAAATAGCTATACCATCACATAGACTTCGATTCTATTTCATTTTATTTTTGGAGGGGGGGGGGGGAGGGGGGGAGTTCTCGTTTCAGTTTTCATAACTCATTCAGCACCAAATACCTGCAACAGTAGTGCAACTCCGTACCCTGTGGCCTCGTCATATGTGGCCGGTGACGCAAGGTCCACGTGCACCCACTCCCCTTTATATTCACTTGCCAGGTTATTTCCTATAAACTGTGCAGCGCAACTGACCTGCGCATTGGAACGCCTGGCGACACTATTACGGTAATCCGCAACCTTACTTTTGTATTCGCAGTTGTGAAGCTCCGGGCAGTACACCACCGGAAAGCACAGATCCCCACACCGCCTGCCCCCCTCCACAAAGCGCCGTTCACTGGCGTCCGTGTTGGCGTAAATCGCTGCGTGGTAAATCCCCGTCGCCACACCTTGGGCACCAGTCAATGTCGCCATGTCTACAATGATACTCGGCGTGAATGGGAGTTCCGCACTGGCGTGGTAGATACCATCGGATAACACCAGGCGGCCCTCAGCATCTGTGTTGTTGATCTCAACCGTAAGGCCTGACTTCATGCGAACGATGTCGTCGTTGCGCTGCGAACAGGGGCCTATGGCATTATCGGCCAGGCACATGATACAGGAGATCTCCAGCGGCATCTCGAGCTTTACCATCGCTAAAAAGGCGGCAAAAATAGCGGCAGCCCCGCCCATATCGTGCTTCATGCTGACCATACCATCCCGAGGCTTGATAGACAAACCACCCGTATCGTACACGATACCCTTACCCACGAAGGCGATCCTATCCTTGGGACTTATACCAGCCCTCGGTTTGTAGGAGAGAGTTACCAACACTGGAGGGAACTCGGCAGCCTTGCCGGTTCCGTAAAGGCCTCCGTAGCCCTTTTCTCTGAGCTCTTCACCCATAATAATGTCTGCGGCAACGTCGTGACCGTCTATCTTCAACCTCTCTACGCAGCTCACTGCGATTTCGGAAAATGAAAGGGTATCCAGTAGGTTAGTCGGTGCATCGGTGAGGCGCTGGCAAAGCTGAACGCTCGCCGCCGCGATCTCCAATGCGGCGTAGGGCCACTTTGTGGAATTCAGATGCACTCGCACCGGCATCCCCGCATTTAAGTACCCCCGCTCCGCGTTGCCGCACTTAGCGGAGAAGGAGCGGTTGCTCGCGCGTGCGACCACCGACGCGATACAAAGGGCCGAGTCTGCTGGTCCAACGTAGTACACATCAAGCCCACCCTTCGAGAAGGTCTGCTTGACCGCCGCCTTGATGATCTCGTGAATGATGTCGGGGCGGGCCGGGCAATTATGTCGCGATGCGGTCGCCTGAACCTTCCCAATGAGCACGCGCACACCCTCCGTGATCTGGGCGACATAGACGGAGTCGATGGGCGCAGTCTTGACGGCCACCTCCAGTTCCCCTTTCTGCATGTACGGAAACACCGCAGCGACCTCCTCCGTCTGGGCGAGGCTGGTCTCACTGCCCAGTAGCAGCACCGTGGTGTCCACTGGTTTGGCCCCTTCGTTTGGCGAGGAGAAGCCGCAGAAAGTAACGTTCGAGCGGTACTTCACACAGCTTTCCACGAAGCTCACCACATGAGCCTCCTCGTACGCACGTGCGGCGCGCAGGCGGTTGTTGGCAGAAGCCATCGATGAATTTTGTTCGGTTATTGAGGTTGGCACGATAAGGATAATTCTCAAGCGTTTTCTTCCTGACATTATTTCAAAGAGAAGGGAAAAAACAGATAGTAATTGGAAAAAGTTTAAAGGTACTCATTGAAAGAAAATAACAAAGAGGCATGTTAGAAAAACATATAGACATTACAACCCCATGAGTTAAAATCATTAGTTCACAAGTCTCATGGCAAAAGAGTACGCAATTAAAGATAAGAAAATAAGAAAGACCTTTGTTGGGTATAATAATATAATGTATCAATTAAAAAAAAAACTATGTCTTCGGTACTTTCCCCTCATATAAATTTCCTTCTGTTTGCCAACAAAATGGTATATAAAGTATTAATCTTTCCCATGAGCGCAGAAAACACGCCCATGAAAACAAAAAAATGACTAAGAAGAAGACAATTAAACGTTCTTTCGCGAAAAAAAATCTTCAATTGACTTTACAGACACAAAACTTCGAGAGAAAAAAGCAAACAATGTGAATGAGGGAATCATGTAACGACGTTACCCTCCACTGTGTGGGCCCACCACCGCGCCAATGTGTCAACTACAATATCGATTGCATGACCTAACTTCTCACGGTGCTTAGCGATATTTCTGGAATCCGAATTTCTGCGTGAAGTAGCCTCAACTCCTACAAGGTGGAGTTGATTCCATCCAATTAACGCCTGCTGGAGGGTTTCCTTCAATTTAGGATCACTCGGGGGTCCCACATCAGCCTCCACGGAGCTTATCAAAGCTCCTACATTGACTTTAGTCGTGAAGTTTCTTAGTAGGGGAGCAATATTCACCTCCACATCGCTTTGATCGCTTCCATTTACCTTGCTTCTTGTACAGCTAGCTTTATGTGAGCGGCGATAACGCGCCGTTTGCAGGGCAAACTGCTCAACTTCCCGTATTTTGTCGAAGCTATTGATGTTCTCATCTACCGTGCAATAATAACATGACGACGATTGCTCACTGAAAGCATCTCTGCTCGAGCCAAGCACTGTTTTGGAATTCATGCACGTGGTCTCATTTTCCTGATCTACACTTGATAAAAATGGCCAAGAAGCATCATCATAATCATCCATTGCACAGAGAAGTCCTTCTTGACATTGTGCGCCGGGGCTCTCTTGCACAACCTCACGAACCACACGAAGTAGGGAGTCGAAAAACATAGCGGCAGCACCTCCGGCATCATTGGATGTGATATCCCTCCCGGAAAGCTCCGTGGTGCTGTAGAATGAGATAAAAAGAGAATGGTGTACCATGCGAATGAAAGCGCGATTACCCGCGGGTCCAAGAGCCCATATCGCTTCCTGCCAAAAATGATTATCCCCTGGAATTACGGCCATCTTGGGATTCTCAGATGCTAATGTTGGTTCCTGTTGGAGCGATTGGGCTTTACTGTCATCTAGTAGCTCGCACGGGCTAATATTAGCGTCGCATGAGTCATCCGACGGCATGTACTGGACGTCCGCCTCGACCTGCTGCTCCTGCACGGGCCCAATATAAACGGCGCGAGCTGTTGTATATGCTAAACGGCAGGTCACTTTGGAGAAAAAATGCAGCGGGACCATGTTAAAAGTGAAGCGGTAGAACGGCCCGGTTAATAGCCTCGGTAGATATTCAATCACCGCCGGTGAAGCGCGATGGAAAAAATTGGTCGGTAAAAGAAAAAAATTCTCAAGCCTGGGATCGAGCATATCCTGATTTTCGCATTCCTCAACCTTGCCTCCGGCACCGTTGATGTTCTCTTTGCCTTGCCTTATCGAAAGGGATAAGGGTGAAGGGGAAAAACAAAGTCTGCTACCCATTATAATGTAGTCACAACACCGCAGAAGGTCCAGAATACCAGATGGGCTTGGCCGTTCGACATCCTTTTCGGAAAGGATCTTACTTATCAACACATCGTACACCTTTGCGGTGATGATGCCCTTCGATAACAGACAGTACTGATCCGCAGCGATGACGTCCATCCAGTTGAAGGGCAACAGTCCTGTCTCCTGAAACCTCCTCATGAGATCCGAGGCGCATAGCACCATCAGGTCTGGATCCGATTTTGAAATGGAGCCGCAACACGCGACGCATGTCAACAATCTTAAGTACCAGTCAACATCAATAATGACAAACTTGCGCATCTCCGTGTGGCGGAAACGGTGTTTAAGGATGCCGGCATGCGCCAAAAGCTGCGTGTGCACATGCAGGTCATTCTTTTGCCCGTAACGACGATCTACCTCCTTCGCGCGATTTTTATAATCGCTTAAAGAAATGCACCACTTACCAGTTGTGGTACGCAAGCTCGTCACCATCGCTCTGAGCTTCTCACATCGAAGCGGAATGCGACCATTCAGAAAGTCAATATCGTTTTTGCATCGATGCAGGGCATGATCACTCATCCAGTTCAGGAGGTCCGTAATGGTGCGCATCTTCGAAAAGCCAGCAGAGAAAACCTTCCGATTCACATTATCGACAGCAAACCGGGCTACGATAGTCGGACGAAGCTCAGCATTAGGCTGAAGGAGTTGAAAAAAGTTGTGCACCTGCTGTCCCATGCTCTCCAAGATAGTGTAGAGGTCTTGCTCCGAATGCCTACACTTGTCAATGTGAGTGGCCACAAGGACAACCGAGGAATCACGATGATCGCTGTTGCACAAGATGAACTCGAGGATCTGATTGAAAATCTGTAGCGACGGATTGTCAGTCGACAATGAAAAGCACAGCATATATGTGACGCGACGGGTAGGTAGTTGGTCGTGTAGGATAGAAAAGCAGGTCAGCCCACTAAGTTCCGTGAAAAGAAGCTCGATATCCTCCGAACCCTCCACGGTTAGCTGCGATCGACGAATACCCCAGGTTGGTGTCACCCGAAGTTTATCCTTCTTGAGAAAAGAATACCAGCGGTTAGGTAGTTTGAGGTTTTCCTGTAATGTCGTCTTCCCACTCTGGACGGGACCTAGAAAAACGAAATTATGCCGTCCAATGAACCGTTCTGGATCAAACTCAAATTTTGATGAATTCAAAAGTACCGAAGGCGGTGCAATGCTTGTGCCCCGTAGCATCACTGGTGTTCCTTTTACAATGCTAGCCTTCGAAGGGAACCTTACGGACGCACGATCGGTCGTAGAGCATGACACAACCCTACCCTCAAGGACACCAGAGGTAAGAATCGAAGAGCGCTGGGGGGTTCTCGCCACACGAGAGCTCGACGGCGGTTTCTTGACATTCTCCAACCCTGCGGAAGCGGCGAAAAGACAAGGTTCGGAGCACGGCGACTTCATGCCATCCAAACCCCCTCCTGTCGCCAGAACAGGCCCCTTGGTGGCGAAGAGCTGGTTGGGTCTTACAAGAGCCCCCAGCTGGAGCACGGGGACCACCGGACGGGCTGAGGGGCCCACGGTGGACGGAGAGGCCGGGGAATTCGGCGAGCTCACGTCGTCAGCGCCTGGCTGGGTGCCAGAGGAGTCTCGGGAAGGAGGTGGGAGGTTCGAAACTCGAGGGACGCCACTCTTTCCTAAGCTCGAGTCATCGCCGCTTGCTGTGGCTCCACGCCGGGTTTGAATTGAGGGGCGGGCATTTAAAACGGGCCTGGGGCACGCTTTCAGAGTTAGCGAGGGCACCGATACCCTCTTCGTGGTGGCCTCTGAAGAAGACGGGGCTCCAGTCAGACGACGATCTATCGCAGGCGCATCCAGGAACGCGGTGGATTGGTGATAAATTGGGCGCCGGCCTCTCGCCGTCATCGGGGTCACCGTCGGATCGACGAACTTCAACTGTGGGCCCTCCAATCCCAGTGAGATAACGTCTCCGCTTTGAAGGATAACCACGCTTTTGGGATCCCAATAATCACAGGTTGATACCGGCAGGAGATGTCCGTTAACATAAGTTTCATGGGAAGCACATGGTTGCAGAGAAAAAGAGTTGCCGAGCTGTGCGCATAGAACGCAATGCGGAGCTCCAATCGAAGGAGGAGGTGTTCCCGGCGGGTCGGCGTAATCATTGGCTGAAAGTACTATGAATTGTCGACGTTTCTTGTGTTTGGGGGTCTTGGATGGCTGCCCAGCTTCAGGAGGAGGCTTGATAGTCTCGAGGTCGGAGTTCTCGCTGGATTCTGTGCTGGCACCAAGTCTAAATGAATCATTAGCGGAGCCTCCACTATCCGAGTCTTTGCACCCATCTTTTTCTTCCAATATATGACTAGAATAGTCGCCGAGAAAGATTTTAGACCCGACGAGGTGCGCCACAACCCACCCACCCACTCCATCTAAGTTTAACAGATATGGATCATTGCGATTGATACGCACAGTAGACTGCGCCTTATATGCCTCCAAGACTGCCGACACTTCTTGCTCGCGCTCCGCATTGGTTGCAGTCAGTTGCCTCATAATCTCCTCCATCTTCTCTACCTCGGACTTTAGGACGTTAACGTCCTGCGATTCCTGTTCGTTGGAGTAGCTGTCAGGCGAGAGGCTTCTAGATCTACCCGTGGCGTCGCAGACAGCGTTTTTCGTTGCTGAGAAGGATAAGGAGGAGCGTTCAGAGCCCTCCCCTGATGAAGGCGCCCACCTTGCAACCTCTCCTGTACCGGTGGGAGGATTACTGTCGCCTAAATGTACGCTTTGATCGAACAATGTATCATGCGTGAATGCAGCGGCATCGACTCGTGCGCCGCAAAGACCATCACGACCTCTGCCATAAATGGTAGCGATCCCGGATGGTGATGCAGGCTGTACTCCGATGGAGAGATGGGATAGATCGCGTTCTTGGAGAATCCGTATTTTTTCCCGAAGCCGCGTCACCTCATCCTCTAACTCGCGAATGCGCTTGTCGGAGGCGGTTTCATTGATAAATGCGCGTGTCACGATGGACTTTGCGCGGTCGGCATAGCGCAGCGTACTCAACGTCTCTTCGTAGTTCGCCGTCGCGGGGCTGACTGTCGACAGCATGAACGTTTTGCTATTCCCACCAAGCGACTCTCGAAGTAAAAAGGTTAGCGTGGAGTCCCGATAAGGCACGTGCTTGCTCTGACCTTTACGGTTGTTTTCCGCCAAAGTACTGATGACAAGGCCAAGCGTGGAGAGAGATTTGTTGATCTGCGCCCCCTCTTTGAGCGTTTCGCCCTCCGCGCCCGTCGACTTCGCGCGTTCGCTGCCCGCCAAATCCACCAAATTGATCTTCGCGCACAACTCTGTTGTCGCACTCGCCCCGTTCTTCGTCACGCTCTTCCGCATTTGAATCAACTGAAGCGCAAAAATCGCGTGAGAACGGCTTGAAACATCATTCATGCCCGTAGCCGCTGTATGACGGTTTCGGTTACCAGCGCGCATAAGCTCGATTATCTGGTTCGTGTGGCTGACTGGAACCTCCTTTAAACCTTCCACATATACGCCAAGGGATGGATGCTGCCTCACCTTCAGGTTTGCTGAACTCGCGTCACTATGCAGAAGGCATCTAACCTTTTCACGGTATATTTCAATATAGCTAACATACACCACAATGTCGAGCTCCGGTGGCATATTTTTGCTACAAAAACTTTTTAACGCATCATTTGATGCATTGGAATCCTTCATTTGGGCAATCTCCTCGCGTACACGTTGGACCTGGAGTGCATTGGCGCGTTTCCTCTCTTCAATCTCCTTGAATAAGTTCTCACACAGGCGCGGTATCAGTCCCGGTGCTGAGTCCATCTGGCGGCCACCTTCGGGTCCCATCATGCAGTAGCTCTTTCCACTTCCGGTTTGTCCATAAGCAAAAACACAAGTGTTGAAGCCCTTAAAACTAGACTCCAGCATCGGTTTGCCAATGTCGTTGTATACCGTTTCTTGCCCCACCTCCGGAGCGTAGGCGTGATCAAACGAGAAAATCCGTGAGCTACCGCGAGGAGCCCATTCCCCCTGCAAGGTCACATCCTTCGTAGCATTCGATTCGTCAAGCCCCTGTTCGAATATCTGCACACGCTTCCCGTTTGTGAATTGTAAGCAATGAGTAGATTGTTGCTTCAACTCGCGCGTGACAAGCGGTCTTGCGCGCACGCAAACAGTAATAGTACCATCCTCAAAGGTCGCCTTTGAAGCATCACCCATTTCCTGTAAAGCCATCGAAAACAATGCTATCGATTGTTTTTTTCCCGAACTACGTTATGTTTTTCACAGAAAAAAATGTATTTTTGGTTTGTTTCTATGAAAACAGGGTAAAATGTTGCGACAAAAGCTCTTCTAAAGGGATATTGCCGAGAAAAGATAAACTGCCAAATATAGTTAGCCTGGAGAAAAGTAGGAGAATGGGAGCCCTTTGAATGTAAATGAATAGGCTCCGAATACAACCATAAAACTACACACTCATTCTGCATGGCTTCTGAAGAATCTGCATTTTCCCTGATTTTCTCATCCCAAAGGAAAGATTCATAGAATCTAAAAATTAAAGGAACTCAATAAAGACTTTCCAAGGAGCAGCCCTCAAACAAAATTGATATTGGCGCTGATGACGCGGCACATAACAACCTACGAGGGATACACAATAAAAGTCATAGTGTTTAATAAAAGTATACATTGTGTAAACCATGTATGTATAGTATATATATATATATATATATATATGTGTGTGTGTGTGTGTGTTACATTACCCTATCCCCTCACCTCCTAAGTCTCTGGCTCCTTCGTGATCATGCCTCTATTCACGTGAACTCTATTTTGCTGATCAATACGCCATCTTAGTATCTATTGTATAGATAGTATCAATACATGCTCTAGCTAGAGGATATAATATGCAGGTTTTTGTTCTTGAAGTTCATGAGTGCTCATGAATCTAAAAAGCCCCTGATGCAACAGATCTCCTCAGTAAAGGCTTAGCAAATTCTTTTTCAGAGTGCTCACAAGATGGGAGCAATGCCAATGAATTAGTCTTCATTATAGTTGAAGCCTTTTGGAAGGACTGAAATAGTAACTACTGAAATCCACTCATCAACCTAATAATAGAGTACTAGTTACTAAGGAAAGGAGATAGAACCAAGGAAGTCGCAACAGAAAGGAAAAATAGTAATAGATAGGTGAATTAAAAAGACAATACAATGACATTAACACGACTATTGACCCCCCTTTTGCCACTTGATCCATAGCTCATGCTGCAAGAACTAATATCGCCAAAGGATCAAAATGGTTTTGAATGCCAATCCATACATTATTTTACTTTTTATTAACGATGGCTTACAAAAGTAAAACAAACCCCTTTCACGTAAAATTTTATTCTCTAACAGTAAATAAAATTGTAGTAATAAAGATGTCTCATTATCTCTTTACCATGCAAAATAAATACACCGCGACCATCTGACCACAAAAAGGGTTCTTTCATCAGCTCATGCTTTTTTTAAAAGCGCACACAAAAAAAAAAAACAGCAAACTAGCAAGCCAATACGCAGGCAATAATAATAAAAAAAGGACATCAAGATAATCATTTCTGTGCATAAAGCCGCGTCCACTCGCGCGCCGTCTCTAACGCATCGGCCTCATCCCTTTTCCAGTGGTCGGCTACATCGTTGGCTAACGGATCATCTGGGTTGGGGCTGCTCATGAGAATCTGGATAGACAGGAGAACCTTGTTGATGAGTAGTGCGGGCGACCACTTATCTTTGATGATATCCAAACAAATCCGTCCTATCTTATCCACGTTAGGGTGGTATATTTTCGTAAGAAAACGTACCTTTGGCGGTACCATCGGATAATCCTCGGGTAGGAAAAGCTCCAAATGAAAAATGCCACCTTCATAGCAGCTCTGGGGCGGGCCGCGGATGATAACCATGAAATAACGGGGGTTGTCTCTTGTCGGTGCCGCCGAAATGCCTGGTGGGCATTCCCGCTGAAGCTTCTCAGTTTCCTTCACGATGCGCGTCGTCAAGGCCATGGTTTCAGTGTGCTCGTATATACTCTACTGTTTGTATTTGTCACTTATTTAGAAGAAATGTTAGACTCAAGTCTTGGAAAGGTTGTTTCCTGTAGTCACCTTGAACCCTTGCTGGTAAGAATATATGATGAACACGCACAAATGGTCAGAAAGCAAAGAGTATAACATGAAAAGAGAGATCTAATCGCATATTCTACACGTATGTGTATAAAGAAATGATAAAATAGTTTAAAAGCTATGGAGACTCATTTTTTCATCCGGCGCGGTTAAAAATTATTCATAAACGTTATTTCGAAGTCTAAATCCAAGGATTTCCACTTAATAGAGCTCTTACCTGCTACGCGTGATAATGGCTTTCAATCACGTATTTTTTTTATTTTCTGAAAACGGTAATCAATACTAAAACCAAAAGGACTATTCGATCTACCTAAAAGAATTATGAAATTGCTAACTCGAAAAAAAAAAATTGAGAAGTAACGCCCGCTCTAGTATATTGCCTTCAGTAAAGAATTTCAGATTTAATTAAGTGCGTAGGCGAAAATAAAAAAAGATACTGTCAAAATATATACCTACGTGAAGTAATATATTAAATAAAAGCATATAGGCATACGGGAAAGGTAAGGAGCGGGGGAAGGGGGCGAAGTTCCAAACATCCCCTCCTTATCTTGCTTCCCATCCTTGTACAGAAAGACAGACTACTTTTAATTGTCATATATAGGCACCTGTCTGCACCTGAACACATTCACCCCCACTGTATCCTTGACACCATGGGATGAGAAAAAGGCAGCTCAGTTCATATCCTTAAGGTAACGAGAGACGAGGTGTTCATGGAGGTATTCGGGATTCAACCTCTCCCCGGTCGCCCTCACCACAAGCTCCTCGGTCGGGTAAAGGCAGCCGTGGTCCCAAATCTTTTCTTTTTGTTTTGCGAGAATAGGATCCAAGTTGCCTGTCTGGAGGCAATTCAGAATCGTGTCCTCGCCAAGTTCCTTACGGATTGTTGCCATGAGCTGCGCGGCAAGTAAAGCCCCGAGCGAATACGTAGGGAAATAACCCATGGAGCCAAGAGACCAGTGGATATCCTGCAAGCACCCCAGATCATCCCGGCCGGTCGTCTCGAGACCAAGGTATTCCTTCATCTTTTCATTCCACACGCGAGGAACGTCCTCGACCTGCAGCGTGCCGTCCACAAGGTCGCGTTCGATTTCGTACCTCAGGATGATGTGCAGCGGGTAGCTGACCTCATCCGCGGCGACGCGAATATAACCCGGCTTGACGGTTCGTATGATGTTGATGATGTTCTCGACCGCAAAGCCCGGCTGCTCGCCAAGGTAGCGCATGAACTTGGGCTGCAAAAACTGGATAAACGGCCTTGCGCGGGAGAGCTGGAACTCGGCAAAGAGGGACTGGCTTTCGTGCACGCCAAGGGAGCGGGCGTTGCAGACGGGTTGTGTGATAAGCTCGCGCGGCCCCAAGTTCTGCTCGTACTTCGCATGCCCCACCTCGTGAATGACGGCGTGCAAGGAATTCAAAGGATCTTCTTCAGAGTAGACCGTCGTGATGCGGCAGTCCTCCTTGCACATGCCGGTGAAAGGGTGCGGACTCACATCCAGCCGCCCTGATTTGAAGTCGAACTTCCAGAGATGCATCATATCCTTGCATAGAGCCTCTTGCTTGTCGACGGGGAAGGGTCCTTTAAGTGGGATGATAGATTTCTGCATGGATTCCTGTTTTTTTACAATATCCCTTAGCAGTTGTGGTAGCCATGACTTGATCTGTCCGAAGATCTCGTTCAATCGGGCGATCGTAATCCCTGGCTCGTAGATGTTCAAGAGGGCCTCATATGGAGTGAGAGAGGAGTCCACCGCCAAACGGGATCCTTCCTCACGGGCAAGCAGTACGATTTCCTTCAATACGGGTATGAAATCAGAGAATTTATTCTCATTTCGGCTTTTTTTCCATACACTATGGGCCATGGTGGTAAGCTTCGCCTTACGAGATATGAAATCTTCCGATAGGAAGTTCATATTCTTCCAAATGAGTGTCATTTCACGAAGATTAGCTCGCTGAATGGCAGAGAGCTTATCCTGTGCGGCGGTAGATTCATCGATCCACTTCTTAACGTCTGGCGCAGTAATGTGCTGGAATTCAATTTTTTTTATGGTAGCAATGGCCTCCCCACGGGCCTCTTCGCCTTCAGGGGGCATGTATGTATTCATATCCCAATGACAAAGCGCAGTGACATGATTAAGACGATAGATCGTCGTGAAAAGCGACTCAAGCTTCTCGTAAGCTAACATATCCAATAGTTTGGTAGGAAAATAATAGTTTAGTGTTATATTTTCTAAAGGGTAATACTATTTGTTTGTGAGAAATGCAAAAGAAAAGAAAAACGACCAACGGATTCAAACGCGCAGAACACCAGAATGCTGCGTTTTCTTCTTAATCCTCCCCTCTCTTCAGCTCGATAAAGGGTTCATAAATAATCGAATCAGAAGAACATGCCTGTATGTACGGTAATACAATAAGCACGCATGGAGATTAAATTTGTTGTGTGTGAATTTTTAGGCTTACACGAATTATTTGATTATATTTCCCGTTGTAGAACCAAATTCTACCTCCCCTCCCCGCCATTACGAATCCAAACCCGTTTCATACTTTCTTTTTCCATCACTGTTATACCCCAACTATCGAACTATCCTTGCGTTTATTACCTACCTTCCCTTTTCACTTAGATTTCGGAGCTTTATACACCGCCTTGGCCTTTTCCCCCTTGAGGGATCGACCTTGAATTACTTCAAAGCGGTGCAACGCCTGACGAGTGTTCCGGCGGTTCATATAAGTGCGATTTAACGGAACGTACGCAAAGGGCTCGATGTTACCCGATTTGATGTCGCCCGCCCCTCGGCCGACAAACTCGTCGCCCTTCCGGATATCCTCCTCGACACGCCGTCGCTTGAGCTCTTGCTTCACCGCCTTTTGCTCCCGTTGCTTGGGAAGGGAAGGGGTCAGCCCCGCTCTCCCCAAGGGAGGCCGCGGCGAGGCCGAGGACGGACCCACCATGCGCCGTCCGACCTCCTTCTCCCCCCCTTCCCCCCGACCGCGCCGCCGTAGCGCAGGATCAACTCGTCGTTCTCGAAATCCACCACGTCGTCGGCA